TTTCTCACTGTGTTTGCGGCATGTAAACAAAATTGGTTTAAAAATTTTTAATTTGCATTGACGACGTCATAAGTATAAAATTTAAATAATTATTTGATGAAATTTCCATTTTTTGCCAAATGATTTGCCAAAATTTTCGCCTCAATGCGAATTTGAATGAAACTAGAAATGTTTCTGTGTTGAGAAAGTGATCGTTCAGTTGCGTACCAAGTACAGGGTGTATAATAATTGCGTTAGAAACGAACTTTCGTTAATTTATAATCCATACATACGAGGGGTGCATGAATAGTGCATGGAATGGTGGCGGTAAAGCTGAAAAATAGTTAAATACTAATTGGTGAACTGTGAAATGAGAGAAGTCAGTGGAGTATAGAAATTTGGTGCAAAACTAAATGCGTTGTCGTTATAAAATTCCCTAGAAAATAAAGAAAAAGCGCAAAAATTATTTCAAATCGAATAAAAAACGTTTTTGCTTGACAGTGCATTTATTTGTATGTCGATTGATGACGACTATGGCTTTGAACAGCACTTCAAGGAAAACTTTTTTTCTACTTTCAGTTGGTATAGGCACCACCCGTGACTACAGCTTTCCGCTTAAAGCCCTCTGCTTCTGGCTCCGGTTGCTGAGTTTTCATATAATCTAACGATTTAGTCAGCGTAGCTGCTGTATTTTAATTTGTTATACAAGAACATTGTACAGCATGGTCATATATTTCATATATGCATCTCATACAGCTCATCCTTGCAGCAGCATCTCTGTTTGAGTAACTAAGTTGGGCAAACAAACGGTGATAACCTCGAAGTTCCGTAAACTTTCATAATCAAAAACCCTACCAAAAAGTTTCATCACGCATATACATAAGTATTACATTAATTCACAATTAATTAAGTGTAATTGAACACAAGTTGTGCTAACGGTTATTTCTCAACATTTCTTTCTATGAGTTTGTTGTTGAATTTTCAAACATTTATACAGAATAACAGTTTTATTGTTAGCCTTTGTTGAATTATTTTTATTACTGAGATGTAAGTAGATACACATATGCGTGTGTGTATGTTTGTATACATATATATAGTATATATTATATATATGTTTTATATATAACACATCTCTTGTATATTTCCAAGTTTATTTCCTTCAATAAATTTCTCATAAATAATTCTATCAATCAATAGCCGCCAAATATTCAATCAATTGTTTATTATTTTAATGTCTTTGCACATGAATAGATCAATTAAGAAAATAACGAGAGAGAGAGAGTGAGAGTGTGCGTGTATTTTGTAGATAATATTCATGCAACTGATGACATGCGTTTCATGGGTGTAACAGCGTAAATTCGTTGGCTAGTGACTAATATGAAATATTTCGATTAAATTCGGAAAATAATTTTCATAAAAGACTTTCGCTTTATTTTGATTAATTTTACCTTACTAAACTTTGATTTATATTTAATTAATTTTGATATAATTAATTTTTTTACTATTATTTTATTATATTATAATATTTGTTTTATCTTTTTTGAAACTATGTCACTTTTTTATTTGATTTTCAATTAAGTTTATTTTTGGATTTTTTTTTTATTTTATTTATTTGTCTTATTTTATTTTATCTAATTTCATTTGCCTTTATTTTATTTTATTTCATTGGCTTTTACTTGAATTTACTTTAATTTATTTTGTTTCATTTGTTTTATTTTGTTTAATTTCCTTTTTTATCTTTACTTGATTCTAAGTTTTTTATTTTATTTCATTTTCTGTTATTTTATATTAATTAAATTTATTTTTTTTAATTTTATTTGTTTTATTTTATTTTACTTCAATTTACTTTTTTTGCTTTACTTGATTTTAAGTTTTTTATTTTATTTTAGTTTGTAATTATTTAATTTCCTTTTATTTTATATTAATTATTATACAAATTTTTATTTTATTTATTTTCATTTGTTTTATTCTTTAATTTTTCTTAAATATATTTTATTTTACTTTCCTTGAATTTATTATTTTTGTATTTCATTTTATTTCCTGTTATTTTATTTTAATTTAATTTATTTTATTTCATTTCATTTCCATTTTGTTTTGTTTTATTTTACTTCAATTATTTTTTATTTTTTTTTTTTTATTTTATTTTATTTTATTTTATTTTATTTTATTTTATTTTATTTTATTTTATTTTATTTTATTTTATTTTATTTTATATTATTTTATTTGACTTTGTTACATTTTATTTCATTTCATTGGATTTATTTTAAATAATTTTAAATATATTCATTGTTTTTTTGTATTTTAATTCTATAAATATTTATTTGATGTTTTTTGCTTCTATCAATAACTTTAGATTACTCAACAGAAAATCGTAAATTTTTCGAAATTTTTGCATTATGCCAGTCATTTAAATCTTGAAATGTAAACAATGGTTTTGTTTAGATAATTAGTAATGTCAGCTTTTACATACATACACACATATATATCGTTTTCGCCGCAGGTACTATTTTGAGTTGCATTTTCGAAATATTTTTGTTGTAATGATTACAGAGGGGACTCGGGAAAAAATTATCTATCCAATATCTGAATTCCTCTTATTCATTTTATTGTTACGAAAATTTGCACTCAAAAAATTTATAACCAAACATTTTTCAGTTTTATTTCAAACAGCTTTGCAGGAAAATTTTATTAGGAGCCTTGAAGCTTCTTCAAACTATACAAAATAAAAATAAAAAAAAAATATAAGAAAAAATAAATAAAAATATACAAAAAAGGAAAATAATTTAAGGAAATTAAGAAATGAATAAAATAAATTGGGTATAATTAAGAAAATAAAGAGATTTGAAAAACCATATACACAGTCATATAGCAAAAATATTTCGTGCCGGAAAATTAAGGGAATTCCAAAGAAAACATTAAATAAATTTTTAAACAAAAACCAGCAATAAAAGAATGATTCTCTGAAAAAACTTCACTGAAAAAACAGACACAGTTAATCGAATTGTTTTAAACAATAATAAGCAAGCAAATTATTGTAGCAACAAAAACAATAAAAGTATCTAAGAAAAATATTATTCTGAACTTTTAAAAATAGCCAAGTGGCAGCGGTGCTCACAGAATGTGTGTTATGCGTTTACTTTCAATTGAGTACAATACATACATATCTACATATGTGTTTTTGTTCAGCTGTGTATGCACTTGTATGCGTTTGTTTGCTTATGTGGCACACTGTAGTTTATAAAATGTTACCGTTGATGTGATTATTTGCTGGCAACATATGCGATATCTTGCAGATGAGCAGCGTACACGGTTACAGCAACAACAACAACAACAACAGCAGCAGCAGCAACAACAATGACGCCCACTTGACTACAATTGACTAAATAAACATTTTTCTTTTGCGCTTTTCGATATGAAAAAAGAAATATATATGTATTTACATATATACATGTATACAGGTGTAACTATGTATTGGCATATGAATTATATAGCTCTCTGTTGTTGTTGTTGTTGTTAGAGTTTAGTTTTATTTGCATACCACTAGTGTTGAATTAAATTTTTCTATTTTTTTAACAATTTTTGTTGTTAATTTTTTTAAATTTTATTTCATTTATTTTTGTTGCTTTTGTATGGGGTGAGCATGCAAGTGCTATTGCGTGTGTGTGTTTGTATTTTACAAGGCATAGAGGGAACTGAAAATAAAATTTATTTGCTTTAAGAAAATTTTTTATTTTTCGTAAGCTGAAAAATTAAAATAAAAATCAAAAAGATCAGAAAATATATTTACTATTTTTCTTTTAATTTAAAAAATATTTTTATTTTTTGGTATTTATTCGCCAGCTCGCTCAGCGCTGAGCTTACCCTCGATCCTCTCATAAAAACCACTTTTCTGATGCATTCTAAAGATGGGCATCAGAGTCAATAGAGAGAGAGAGAGACTGTGACTCTTGGTGGACAATTGCTTAGATTTAATGGTTCTCTCAGTAAATTGTATTCATTTCTATTATGGATAAGCAGGCCGCATTAAGAGTTCTGGTGTCTGCAATAATAAAATCGAAAATAATAGAAAACATGCTGATCACTTAAAGTGATAACTAAACAGCTCTCTCCGAGTGCGATATGGGTTACTGGATTCATAACTCATTACCCGAGTTGGCTGAAGAACTTGCGTGGGAGCGCACTTCTCTTCCACTTTCATCATCATGGAAGAATTTCGGCTTGTGGTTCGCCAGCTATAAGCTCTTTGTAAAAGATACTAAACTAAGTGCAGCCATAATATGACCTAGTTACCGTGGCCAATATGGGACAAAAAAGGTGAAGTGAGCTAAAACGAAATGAGATAGCTGCAATATTTCCAAAAATTACTTTAAATTACGTTCTTCCAGTTTTTTCTTTTAAAATCTTAGTATTTTTTAATAATGTATTTCTAAATTATTATATAATAATTGTTTATTTGAAATAAATTATTTTATTTACATATTTATATAACTAACGTTAATTTTAAAAAAAACTCCTAAATTATTAACTGAATTCAGTATTATTTTCCACTTCTTTCTTATATAAATACCATTTAACATTGTTGCAGCAATAAATATTACCTGCGTAAGCTGTGTGTATGTATGTGGGCAAATTTTCGTTATTAAATATCTCACTTAAAATTGGAATCTAAAAATAAATTGCAGTAATTTCGTGTTTATGTAGACTGAAGTGCGAAATTTTGGGAATGAATATTTGTATGCATATAAATGTATATAATAGGTATAAAATAAAAAATAAAAAATTAAATAAAATAAAATAAAATAAAATAAAATAAAATAAAATAAAATAAAATAAAATAAAATAAAATAAAATAAAATAAAATAAAATAAAATAAAAAAAAAAATAAATTTAAGTAAAAATAATTAAAATAAGGTTAATTTGAATTAAATAAATTTAATTTAAGTAAAAAAATATATATATGCAAGTTTTATTAATTTTCTGTACTCATTGAATATTGCAAATTTTATATTTTTTACTTTCAGAGCCAAATTTTTAATGGAAAAATGTGCTACATTGCTACAGACTGATTTGGAACATTGAAAATTCATAACCAACCCTAACCAAATACAAAATGAGCGCCGAATTTATTGCTGTGGGAAGACAGCGAGCACAGCTAATTTATATATTGCTGGCGGTTGGTGAGTATTAGAAAGTTGTTTCAAATGCCTTTAAGCGAAAAATTATTTTCCAAAATCAATAAAAAAAGCTACACTTACGTTATTAATTAATTTAGCTTTCACAATTATCGTTATTAATAATTGAGTTTTTAGAGTATGAAGAAAGTTCAATTTATTAATTTCCATATTTCTGTAATTTTGAAATTTCGTATTAAAAAGATATTTATTTCAATATTTTTAAATTGTTTCCTTGTCTCATAGTTTTAAAATTGTACTGCAATATATTTTTTTTCAAATTTTAAGAAAATTAAAATTAAAATAGTTTCAGATTTGAAGCTTCGTTAGATGGCGCTGTCATAGAGATATTTAGAGATTTTAAAGTTCTGCATTTCAATAAGTAAATTAGTAGGAAAAGTAAATAGTAATAGCTGTATTATTACCTCTTAGAGACAGTTAAAAACCGCTAGCCACCCACCGAGATATATTATTTTTTGCTTTTTTCTTTACTTGTTTCCCTGCAAATTCACGTTGGTCCAGACGAAATTTGAATTTCGAATTCATCATCAACAAGGCATGCCGTTTACCTGCTGTCAAGAAAGTTATCCATACATACAAACTATGTCAAACATTTTGTGTCTTTGCCAGACTTTTTTAAACTTTTGGCCAGAGTCAATAGCAACAGCAACAACAACAATTGCAAGTTTATTGAAATTGATCGGTGGATTAAAGCCAAAAAGTTTGAGAAATAGTAGACGCAGACAGAGAAGCCCTGAACTTGAAATGAAGAAAATTAACAAGTATTTTACGGTAATGGAATCCCTGTGAAAAAATACAGTTGAAAGAAAAAAAATACAATTAAGCAGCGAAGTTTCATAAATTTAGTATAAACAAATCGGAGTTTGAAAATTACATTTCCAAAAAAGTACATTTCACATAAATTATATTGCTTTAATTTATTTTATTATATATATTTTATTTGGTTTTATTTTTTTATTTTATTCTAATTTATTTGAATTATAATAAATTATTACAATAAATTAAAATCAATTATTTTAAATCTTCTTTAATTTAATCTATTTAGAAATTTAATTCTATTTTATTTAGTTTTATTTAATTTAATTTAATTTTTGCGCATTTTATATTAATTGTGATTATTTTATTTTATCTAATTTAGTTTATTTTAATTTATTTTATTTTAATTTATTTTATTTTATTTTAATTTATTTTATTTTATTTTAATTTATTTTATTTTATTTTATTTTATTTTATTTTATTTTATTTTATTTTATTTTATTTTATTTTATTTTATTTTATTTTACTTTATTTTATTTTATCTTGTTTTATTTTATGTTGTTTTAGTATATTTTGCATGACTTTTTTTTGTGAAAACGTTTAATCTTTTCTCTTCAATTTATGTACACAAATTTACTCAGGTATGTGAGCGTATAAAATTCAATGTCAAAAAAGGATAATAAAGAAAAGAAAAGCGGAAAAAAGTAATTAAAATGCTAATGGCTGGACTGAACCATGTCCCACTTCAAACCTTTATATCGCAGCGTACCGTTGTATGTGCTTAAATATTCATAGAAAATAATTTTGGACACCAACAATCAATGTTTAACGAAATTTACCGTTATTTTACATGTTTAATAACATTTTAATTGAAATTTTTGTAGAGGAAAATTACTGCAGTAAAATTCTACAAGTCAGCTTATTAACTAACTTTGAAACAGATGAGCTTAAAGCTCATAAAAGAGAGTACTTTGTAATTGGGAAGACTATTTAAGGGACAATTTAAATAAAATTCAGTGGCGAGAAATGTAAAAATAATGAATATTCAAATGAGGAGTGAAAGTGATGAGATTTTGTAATATAGTAATAATTTAAAGATTAAAAGTAAAACAAAAAAATGTTCTAAAGTAAATAATTAAATATTTTAATTTAAAAAAAGCATAAAAATTCCATTTCAGTTTAAATTTTAGTACTTAAAAAGTTGAATACTCTTGAAATTGAATTCACTTTTCTACTCAAGCTTTTAAGAAAACGAAATAATTTATATAATTCCAACAAAAAGTGCAATAATCTCCACTCAATACATTTGTCTGCATAATAAAATATGTAATTTATGATCTTACATGCAAACCAATCGTTTTTGCTTTTGTCGATTTTGTTTCATTTTTTTAATGACTACAAAGTAAGCCTTGAAAAATCCAATGTAAAATTTATGGACTGCGAATAATTCGCATATTTTCGCTTTACATACAAGAAAAAGAGAATCGATTAACATAAATTTAATGAGGCGGCAGAGCACGGACAAATGGTCATCGTGCGCTGGGTGACGTGGGAGAAGGTTCCCAATAGAAAGATAAACACAAAAAGTGAAAGAAGAGTACTAAAATAAATAAGGAAGTATAAGTGAAAAATGATTAATGCATAAAATTATAAAAACAAATTCATATAAATATTTTCTTTGCACATTGATAAGCCAATAAACAAATTAATCGCGCGCGCTGTTAATAAATAAATAAAGATGTAAACGAAAAAGCGACAAAAAATATTTTACTTTTCTTTTTTCATTTATTTATTTTTTTCCCACACACAATTTAATGATCCTGCGTGACTTGTTTGCACCGATTGCCATTTGCGCTGACAGCAGCTGTCAACACGTTTGTTGCTGTAATTTCTGCATTGACGGCAGCAGCAGGAATGCACTTTTTTGTTTATCATTGAAATAAATAATAAAAACAAGAAAAACTAAAAATAAAAAAGCAACAAATTATTTACAGATCATAAAACGTGTTTTACAATTACATTTCCATTTCTCCATGCAATGCGTGGGCAGCAGTGGCGCGGAGTGGGTTGCAGTTGTAAAATACCGTTGCAATAATAACATTAATTGAATTTGACGAGCCTCGGCCTCTTAAATGTCATTCTTGATTCACTATCTTGTTGTTATTGTCATTGATTACATAAAATATTTATTTATTGACTGACGCATATCATTTTGCGCCATAAAAACAAATTCTTTTGAAAATAGTCGAACAAAGCTTGTGCTTGGTATGCCCATTTCAGGGCATCAAAAATATTTACAAAAAGCAAAAAATACGAAAACTAAACATAAGATAATACAAAAAAAATTAAGTAAAGTAAATCAAAATATAATAATTTGAAATAAAATAAAATAAAATAAAATAAAATAAAATAAAATAAAATAAAATAAAATAAAATAAAATAAAATAAAATAAGATAAAATAAAATAAAATAAAATAAAAATGGGAAATTAAAATAAAGATAAATTCACTAAAATGAAATTTGAAAATAAATATATGTTTTTAATAGTGAAAAATAGAAAAATTTTTGGAGGACATCTGCGCTTTCAGTTTACCCATTCCACTTCATCGTCGATGTTATTGTGCAATTAATTAAGTTTATTTCGTAAATATTGAAGAAATATTCCATTTTACTTTCTTCCATCGCTTTTGTTTGCCATTGTTCTATTTGTCGTTTCCCAGCACTATCCATAAGTCAATATGCTCAATTTGCTTAATCCATTTTGCGAAAGCAACGAAAATCTGACTGCAGAATAAAGTCATTAAAACCGTTAATACTTTTACGAGTTCACCTGCAAAAGAAATTTGTTCAATTGGAATATACGCAGATTTTTCCGATTTATTTAATTTTTTATATTTTATATATGTATATCATGTACAGAATGTTTATTGCTTGTTATTTCGTGAAGATAGCCAATTTTAATTGATAAATAAAGTTGAGGAAATGGCAAAAATAAAAGTCTGGCGATTAAGCAAACGTGACCTTGGCCATTCAAGGGTGCAAAGATAAATATTTTTCGTAGAAGAACTAACTAGGCGAGAAAAAGATAAATTAAAAAAGTCAAAATAAACAGTAAAAAATGAAGAATATATTTTTAAAGAAAATAATAATAGAAAATAATTCAAGAAATATATGAAAAAAATTGAAAAAATATAAAAAAAACCCATAAAGATGAGACCAAGTAACGCTCGAAATTATATAGGCAGCGCGTATAAAAATAGCAAAAATGCAGACAATAAAAAATAAAGTAAATAAAAACACAACAACAAACCCTGAAACGCTAACAATGCAGGAAAAGTAAATAAAGCGCAGTTAACAATAAAAGCGAAGCTATTTGCGGTTAGATTTATAAGAATAAAAGAAAGAGAGAAAAAAAACAAAAACAAAAAATAGAGAAAGAAAAAATACAAAAAATATTTAAAAAAGTGTGTGCGATTAGAGTTAGATCGTAAAGTAGCTGCGTCGGGTAGGGGGAAGTAATATTAAAGCAAACGCGCGCAAGCAATGGAGGGCGACAACAGGAAGCAAAAGAAAATATAGAAATTGCACATAATCGTATTTTATGGATTATACGTAACGGTGTCGACTACTGTAGCAATAAAGCAGAAAATGATAAAAGCCGAAGAGGGCTTGCCATGGTCCGTTTGTGATGCACAAAGTAGTCTCGGGATTCAGGAACGGAGGAATGGTTGATTTTTATATATTGTTTCAGAAAAACTGGTACTCGGTCCCATAAAACCCACATGTTTATAAATTACAGCTGGGTTTAAAAATTTTGAAATATTTCGGTTTGCTAACTATAATTGTGAAAAGTCTTAAGCGAAATTTAAGTTTGAAATTACATACTTATGCAAAAATTACAAAGTGGGAACAGTTTTTCTTTCAACCAGCTGATAATGCACGGGAAACTCTTTTAACGTGAAGTAAAGTATTTACATATATAAGATTTTTTTTGGATGGGAACAGTTTTTATAGCTGCTTATGTTATGTGAACAGTTCAATAAGAACAGTTTTTGCTTAGAATTTAATATAGATCTTCTTTTAAATTCCTTGAATAAAAATATTGAGAGTTGATCCGACAAAGATTACTCGAGTCTCTGAGCGAAATTTCGCGGCTCACTGAGCACCAAATTCGGTATTGCTAGCTTTAGCGCCGGTGGAGCCAGGGAGATTCCGAAAATGTAAAAAAGAAGTAAAAACATGAAAAATTCAGCTGAGAAAGCATTAACCCAATGGAAAGTGGAAAACCGCAAGAAATTGTGAAAGTGGAGGAGATAAAGTATTAGAATATGCATAAGAAGACAAGCAAAGGGCATGCATATACATATAAATGGTTGTTGTTACACGTGCCATTAGCACAGGACATACGAGTAGATTGCGGACACTAGAAGTAAAGAACTGAGGAATTGCTTGTGGCAACAAATGGGAGCCCAGTCGTTGACAGGCCAGCAGCAAGTAAACACAAAATGACCAACGACGTTTGTAGACTCGAAGATTGTAGGATCACCAGAGAGTGTAGGGTTGCAACAATAAGTTTTAAAATATTAATAGCTGCACAAGGTACATCGAACCCCTACTCATACAGTCAACCACTTCTGAGAAATTCCATTTCAACGTCACGTCTGTTGTGGGCGAGCGTGGCTACGTTGCATTGTCATTTGGCGCTTGGAGCATGGGGCCATGTGGCACAGACATTCTTGATGAATGCGACACTTGATTGTTTGGATTTGCGGTCGTTTGATACGAGTATGTGGGCGCCATTATTTGTCAATACTGTTTGCACACACTTGAATGTGTTGGCGAGTAGAGTGTGTGTTTTTTTTGGACTGAGATGGCGTGGGTAATTGAAATGGACAAAGAAAAGTTGTAAAATTGTGTTTCAAAGCTGAAAAGTAGCTTTCAATATGCATAAAATCAGTGTAGAAGATAAGGGTTTCGACAAAGGTTTTTATTCGTGCTCATATATCTCATCTCAATAGCTAATAAAAGAAGAAGAACGTAGTGAGAACAGTTTTTGAAAAAAAGCAAGCAAAAAAATAATAGCTAGGGAAGTCTAAAAGATACTTTAGTATTAAGGAGCTTTTTTTGACTTGATTTTTTGGTTGGTAACAGCTTATAAGCATTTTTTAGTTGAGCCAGCTCATGTGGGTATAGTTGCATGCCAACAGCTTATATAAGAAAAAAGAAGATTTGAAACTCACCATGGATATTTTATTTAAAAAATTTTGAAATTAAAGTGGGAACAGTTGTGTACAAGTAAAGGCAAGAGAAAAACAATACACAAATTACGTTTATATTGAAAAAAATCATTGTTTTGATTTCCTGGGTAGGTACACTTAAATATCATCATAAATATCACCGCAGGTGGCGGGTGATGATAAAAATCAAGAAATCAAAGACTTGACGAAAATCCTCCCAAGCTATAATGTGGATATGAGAACAGATGAAAGGTACACAGCTTTAAACAAAGTTTATATTGTTGGCATTTCGAAAGCGAAAGTAAGTAAAATCTATGAAAAATTTAGTGTGGGAGCAACGTTAAGTTTCTCTGAAAAGCGAGGGATAGTTTTAAAAAACCGTTGTGCACAAGAAAACTTGCCTTTTTAAACCAGACATATGGGGAACAGTTCCAATGGGAACAGTTCAAATGGAAACAGTTCCAGTGAGAACAGTTCCAATGGGAACAGTTTTTTATAGTTGAATTAAAACAGAAGCAAAATAAAAATTAAAAAATTTGCATTGAAATCGAAGCCTATAAAACTTTATTACAATAATTTCATCTCATGAAACTCATTTGCATATGTACTTAATGCAAATTACGCACACCCATTCATTTGCAACTCTTCCCAACCAAAACTGATTACTCTTTTGACACTTAACCAACAATAATAATAACTAATAATGGCTTTCCCTTTCTTTACCTCCTCCGTTTTGCAGTGTGCATGCTGCCCACACCCGCTACAACATTCCTGCCGGTCGAATTACCCGGAACCACAACAACAAGTACGACAGCGACAGCGACAACAAAACCAACAACAGGATTGGCAACAGTAACAGCAAACGCCGGTTTTGTGCCCGCCGTAGCACCCGCCCCACCGTCGACGAACAACGAGCTCTCAGACACCATTATACCGCCCGACACAATGGACCAATGTCCGATGGGCTATTTTCATTGCAATATGTCCGCACAATGTGTGTCGCAGCGTCTGAATTGTGATGAGAAGGCGGACTGTGACGACGCGTCGGATGAGTGGAATTGCGTCAATGATGTGGATGCGAGATTCTGGGATCATTTCTTTCGTAAGCAGCCATACGGACGGCACGACGATGTGCCGGTGGAGACGTGCTGTAAGTAAAATATCAAAGCAGCGCTGAAGGCAGGCCACAGAGAGTATAGCGAGTGGAGAGAGCACATAGAGGAAGTAGTGTAGTGGGATAGGCTGCGCGCAAGAGAAGTAGAAAAAAATGTGATTGTGTGTGCCTGCGGTGGCAATGCGTCTTCTCACGCCTCGCATGTGTGACAGTTAAATTAACAGTTATTGGCGTTAATTGCCGCAAATGTCATTGTGATAATTGTTAAGGCGCTGACTGACGCCGACTTTGACCGCTAGTTTGGTACTAAATTGCTTGGAAAAAGTTTTCTGACACATTTTTTTATCATGTTTTGCATTATTTATACCCTTCACAGTGGGTTAACTAAAATGTATAGCCTTCCGAATTTTTTTTTTTTTTATTTTTTTTTTTACAAAATAGAAGCACCAGATAAGTTTGGGGAGCATAAAATATATATATTTATAAAATATTTTGATTATTCATCATGTCGAAAATACGCGCAGTGAAAACGATCAATTTCGAACGACTATTAAAGCTTTTTCCATACAAAACTTATTTCAAAAACGATGTTTCTGATAATAATTTTGACAATACTGAAGGTAATATCGTGAAGTCGCTTACCCGCTTCTTGCTGGTGATGAAAATATTGTTGTTAGTCATAATCTGTTAGATTTCGGCGAAAAAAATATGGCTGCCATACAAACGCATGTTCGAAAATTAGTTTTTTTTTTTTAATAATAATTCCTACAATTAAGTAGCCAAAATTAAAAAAAATCTGGTATACAAGTTACGCGTTAACTAAAAATAATTATAGTAAAAAACAAATAGATCACGGCACTAAGACGTATAGTTCATATACAAAAGTTAGTTCAAAATTTAGTTTTTTGGTAATAATTTTTATAATTTAATAGGTAAAGGCTTAAATTTTATTACACAGCTTTCATTTCATACAAGAAAGCTGTTCAGGGATCATAATCAAAATCATGCCACCTAAACGAGTATCTGCCATATAGAACTTAGTAAAAAAAATTACGTTTTTTTTTTAATATTTTAATTTAATAATAAAGACTGAAAATGTTTGAATACGTTACCGAGTTTAGATTTCATAAGTAGATATTGATCTGTGAGAATCATCAAAATTAATTAATGAAAAATGAAAATGAAACGCCTGAAAGCTCTCATTTGTGTGAGTATGGTATTGAAACAATTTCTTTTCTTTATTTCTTTGTACGCTTAGCGTGAGGTATGAGTCGCCGCTGATTGATGGCGTCGCTGTGGTCATTTTCTCTATTCCGTTTTGCGCTTATTAATTTCAACAAATATTTTTTGTATGCAATTTTCACATTTTCTTCCCACAGTTTGGCTTAAGAACAACAGTTACAGTTGTCTTTGTCGTGGCGATGAAATTTTATGTCGTTTCCAGCAACTAACGGCAATGCCAGCCAATTTGCCGGCGACGGAGTTAACAATGCTGTGAGTATATAATTAGGTATTTCATATATATGTACATGTACATATATATGGATATGTGTGTGCGTAACTAAATATTTCTGCCATTAATAGGCATAAAAAAAATAAAAACTTTTTCTTCTCGCTGAAACTTTGTCATTGAAATTATTTATGCTTACTCATGCAAAATATTTGCTGTTCATAATTTTAACGGTATTATTTTCGCGCTGATAATATTGTATTAAATTTTACTTTTCCTGAAATTCATTACCATCCCTCATTACTTGTTGCTCTTTCATTAAATTAATATTTAATTATCTTATTAACTGTCATATAAAAATCATATTTCTTAATTAATTTTTAATATGCAAAAATATTTTTTTTTTCACTTTGCATTTCCTCATTGCAGTGATTTAACAGGAAATAATTTTCCACACATAGATGAGCATTTTTTTGCGCAGCTGCCGTTTGTGGAGAGTTTGTAAGTATCGATAAATAGTGGAGCGTGGATGAAATGATTTTTTACATAGAAAAATAAGTTAATTAAATTACGAAAAATTTAAAGAAAAAAAATACTAAAATAAATAACTAAATAAATTCAACACAAAATAATTAGGCAAAATGCAAAATAAAAATATTTAAAAATTAACATTAATAATTAAAAATTATTAAAAATAAATAATTATTTCAATGGTTATAAGGAAAGAAATTTAAATATTTATAAAAAATAAAAATTTTTAGATAACAAAAAAAGTTAAAGAACTTAACAGATAATAATAAATAAATGTAAACAATAAAAAAATATATAAATATATATATAATAAAATATATGTAATTATGAAAAACAAGTAATTATGATCATTTAAATTATAATTAAAATATGAAAATAAGTTATTTCAAATATAAAAGTCTTAAACATTTAAAATAATAACAAAAATATAATCGAATATAAAATATAAATTATTTTAACCGAAACAAAAATAATTTTTTTCATTACAATATCAGTCAATTCAATCATTTTTAAATGTCTAAAAAGAAAATACTTATTGGAAATGCAGAAATGGAAAATTATAAAATATTAAATATTTAAAATTTAAAATTTTAATAATGTAAAAAATGTCAAATCAGAAATAATTGAAAAAAAAAACAAAAAATTAATAAAATTAACAAAAAATAATAAGCCTAAATAAAAATATAAAAATCAGATTAGTAATTATAAAAAACTGTGTATTATCAAACAAAATAATATTTAAAAAAAAAAAATAAATAAAAAAATAAAAATAAAATTAAAATAAAAAAGCAATAGCTTTTAAAAATAAAACAAGAGAAGAACTATGGAAAATAAATAATTAAATAAATAAGAAAACAGCAAGTAAAAAAATTCAATATAAATTCAATAAATATGCGAGTGTTATTAATTTTTTTAAATGTAGCTCTTATATATTTTAAAATCATTTTATTTACAACATATTTTATAATAATAAGCTATTCATCTTCGTTATGATTGTCATTTATTTTAATTTAAAATTATTTTAAATCAATTTGTTTAATTATAATGTCAGAATGGCAACTGACATTACAATCCATCATCATATGAGCTAATAGTTATATTTTTAATTGTTCTTTTTGCAGTGCTTTCCATTTGAATTTTTTTATTTGAAAACAAGAAAATAAAATATAAAAAGCGAAAATAATAAGAAAATATGAGCCATAATCTGCGTGGAATCTCTTAGGAGTGAATGTATTGTATTGTGATTTTTGCTTACTATTTGACAAAACTTTTATTATATTCTGATGTATATTTTTTTTCAAAATAAGTTTTAAACCTTACGTATACCAACATTTAACTAATAACTCCACTTCCACTTCCACTTTATACACCCGAGATGCATAATTAATTTGAAAATTAATTTTAAACGCACATATAGTGAATTTTAATCAGGCTCACCATCCCTTATATGCGTATACGTATATACGTGTATATATAAATATTCCAACATGTCCCTTTTCCTGTTACTCAAACCACCAAAGTGCAAACTAATCTAATCCAAAATAGCAAAGTCAACAAAGAGAAGTGCAAACGTGTGGAAAAATATACTGTCGATTGCATGCAAATTTTTATACATATATATGTATATTTGTACAATCAACTCATTGTGTACACAAAGGTAAAAAACGAACCTATAGTGTTTTAACAAAATTTTAATATTAAACATTTTAATTTCGTTTGAAATTCAGTCAAACAAAATGCTATGAAAAGTCACTCATACGCAGTGGTGTACTAAAGAAACCAGTGAACTTTACTCATATGAATGTACTTAGTTTATGGAAATTGAATGAAATTTTAATTTTTTTGCTATGAAACTCATTCTTGTAGTCTTAAACTAATTGTTATTGCTTTGCTTTAATTTGTTTTTAAGTAATTAATTTAATTTTTTGAAAATCGTAATATTTTGTAGGTCTGAAAATTTCTTTCACAAAGTTGATAAAAATAATTTTTAATTTTAATATAACAATAATATCTTTATTTCTTTTCACAGAGTTTTAAAATTTTGTTCAATAGAAGACCTGGCACCATTTACTTTCCAGAGATTTTCGGAGATACCACTAAAGACGCTGTAAGTATTTAACACAAGTTAGACAAAATATTTTTTTTTTAAAAAAAGACAAAAATATTGAAAACTAATTTGAAATGTTTTTAATCTTTTTCTAGTAGCATTGGTTGTATGAGCTCATGAGTTTTTTTATTAGTTTTGATAGTTTTTTTTAACATTTTTATTAAATTAATTTGTTTTCATATTTTTAATTTCTTATTTTTTTTTTTTTAATTTTTTATTTTTTTTTTTATTTTAAATTCTCTTCAAAAATTTCTTTATAGTATTTTTCCATTATTTAAATTATTTTTAAAATTTTGCTTAAGGTACTTACACTTTATTAATAATAATAATTTATTTAAAATGTATTTCTTATACACTTAAATTTAATTTATTAGTTTTATGGAACTATATCAAACCATATATTTCTGGAAAATAGTGATAAAATTACAAAAACAGTTGTTATTTTTATTTTTATATTTTTTAATTATAACTTAACACATACTCATGTTTATAAATCATATATTGTAATATTTTTGCAGGTACTTGGATGAAAATAAGATAGTCAGCTTATCAGAAAATTTATTCACCGCTGGAAACACTCTGAAAATATTGTGAGTAAAAAATTTAAGAAAGAAATTAAATATTTTGAAACATAATCAAAATCAAAAAATGATAAAAAGAAATGAAATATCATCAATTTTAATAGTTTTTGAATTTATAGAACAAAAAATTGAGCTTAACTTTAAAAAGTATCATAAAATGTGCCGAAATGCTAATAAATTTGCTTTAAGATTTTGAAACATTAATAAAGAAAATTTATGGTTATTTCTTGTGGCCATCAGTGCTTTATTAATGCTTACCGTTATTATACCTATAATTTCTCATTATTTATTCCTAATTTTTATGACATTTTTTCTTGCAATTTTCGGCATTTCTTTTTATCTCGCAATATTTATGCTTATTATTTGCTCACATTTCACCTACTACGCTTCATTAGTCACGTGCCGTATGCCATGTGTGTTCACTGTTTACACAAGTGGCGCTCAAATTTAAAAAGACATAAGTGGGTTTCAACTAACGGTAAGAGCATATCGCTTCTCAGCGCTATTAATCATTTTCATTTGATTTTTTTTTCTTGGAAAATTTTACAAATTACATTCTCACTACCTTTTTATAGCACACATATGTAGCTACAGGTATATTGGTAGCATACACCCGCACATACATACATACTGATAGTGCTCATAAGTCGCATGCTGTTATTTGCATTGTGTAATTTTGTATAAAATATCTGTGCACTTTTGACATTAACAACGTTAAATGCCAACATACGCACACGCATACCTACACATATGCATTTGTGCATACATATGTACATATGTACAAGTGCTGTTAGCAAACCGCAGTGCTTGGCAGCATAAATGTTGCGTATACGCAGTGGCGCCGGGCAGCATGCGAGGCTTGATTTTTCATTTTTAACAAGCGTCGGGTATTCCACAGTCATTTATTTTTGTTGTTGTTGCGAATAGTGTTATTGTTGATATTTTTGTTACACAGTATTTATGGTTAATTAATAAAAGAATGTATGTCCTGCCTTCCGTTCATTGTTGGTGTTAAAATTTCTTGCTTGCTTCATTAACAAGCGCGTTACGTATACAACATGGCACACTTTTCACAGATAACGCTATCGAATAGCCGTACGAGCGACATAAGTTGCAGGAAATGTGTAAACGGCAGACCAAGGTGTCACTTCTCGAGCATTTTTCCCTCTTTGTGGTCATAATTATGTGCGTGTAACGTGAAGCTCTGCTGTGCCATCTGTTATTTTTGTTAAATTCGTTTGTAATTCATTCTTGTAGTCATAAAAATCAATTACTGGTTCATCTGTGTTTAAATAAAAACGAGTTGTCTGCCGCAAAGCATTAGCAATTCAATTTCTCTGCATCTAAAGCCATTCTCTATCAACTTATTCGCTTCGCTTTTCTCTGCATTTCTAAATCTCAAAAGTATATATATATGTATGTACAACATAATCTGCACTCTGTCTACACGCTTTGCTGGCGTGGCTTGTCTTTTATGCTTTGCAATTCCACAGAACAAGTTCCTGCATATTTCAATTTAATAAATCCAGTTAAACTTGCTATTATCCACACGCACGCATATGCTCAGTGGCGCTCTGAACTGATACCACATATCTCTCTTTTCACATAAACGACAGCCCCACAGTTGTGTGGCGGCAGTTAAGTTTTGATTTTTCTGGTTCTCGTTATGCTCTTGAGCTTTGAAAAATACAAAGGAAATTTGTAAATTCATTTCTCATTCGTAAGCTGGTATTTTTCTTGATTTTAATTTTTTTAATTGAGTTTATTTTATTTAATTTTTACTTTACTTTATTGAATTAGTTTAATTTTATTTAATTTAGTGCAATTAATTGAAATTAAATTAAACAAAATTAAATTATTTATAAATTTTTATTTTATTTTACTTAATTTTACGTAAAATAAATATATAAATTTAATTTTTTATTAAATTAAATTTAATTATTTTTTTATAATCAAATTGAATAAATTTTTTATTCGATTAAATCTCTTTTAATATTTTCTTTGGTTTATTTAATTTACAACTTAAATTAATTTAAATTTATTTGATTTAATATTGGTTAACTTTTATTATTTTATTTTATATTTTTTTAATTAATATTGTACAATATAATTTAATTTTAAATATATAAATTCTTAATTTTTTATAATTAATTAACTACTTTTTTAATTTAAATTTTTTGAACTCATTTTATATTTTAATTTAAATTTTGTTTTTACTATTTTATTTTATTTAAAAAAATTTTTATTTTAATTAATTTATTTGATATCATTAATTCTATTTTCCTTTTTTTTGGGGATGTGGTCCTGTGTCTGGCCACTCACAAGTATATACCCAATTCCAATAGTTGGGCCCATGTCACACGCATTCGAAACGTGAGCAATCCCAGTTCGAAATGTGGTAACCAATATGGGTGAAGCCTTGGGTGTTACATAAAATACAGGGTGATTTACTGAAACCACTCCAGACATATTAGGTGTAAGGGATCAATTTTTATTTAATTCTAATCAAACTTCTGTTTACTAGAGCTTTGGCTCGGCGTCAGTCAGTCAGGCAATCAGTTCGCTATGCAAATGTGTGTTCGAAGATGCAGTTGCCCGATTGGTTGTTATTTATGGCAACATTCAGGCTGACATTACCGGCGTCCAGAAAAGAGGCGGAAAAGACAATAACAGAAATGCATATATCCTTTGGCATGTAGAATGCAAACAAATTTGGTGTCGGAGTTGTGGTGGGAGAGAGCAGCTGGTGGTCGATTCTGTAGCTAAAACCTTCTTCGAACAAATAAAAGTAAGCTCATATATCGAGAAGCTAAACACCCAGAGCACTCATCAACAACTCAGTTTAAAAGAACTGTGAGACAGCATTTCAAGCTCTCTACCTTCAAAACCAATTGAAATCGCTGGTTTTCGACGAACTCAAATAATAGTTGGTACGGTGAGATGCAGTGGGGAAAAAAGGGACGTTTTGAACGATAATTGCGTGTAGGAGATATCGATAGTTGATGAGGAAAGCGAGATAAATTCGAAGTCCTTGAAAAGCTTTCGCTCTGGGTAAGGTTTCACAAACGGAACACACTCATGTGGGAAAGCAGTCAGTGGAAATTGGATCTTAATAGTCGGGATATATACCTGGTAAAGCCACTATTGACCAAACACTCACCAAGCGTTCAATATTTGAAAATATACCTGAGTCAAGCATCTATACACTGTCTAGAAACGAAGCTGCCTCTATGCCGCTGCACTGAATTTGATGTATCCGCACGTCTTATGCGACTCTAAACTAGTTTTTAGATTATTTATTTCCTTAATATTTCACAGTCTTCATTCAACAATACCGTAAATTTTTTTGCTGGACAACTTAATTTTTAATTATGTTACCAACAAATTAAGGGAAATTAAAATTTTCTCCCAACAAAGACCATGTAAATTTGTGAAAATTTTCCACAATAACAACAAATTGTTTTCCAAAAAGTTGTCTACACTGCAACTCACTGCAGTTGAGCACCAACAAGTGCCGTTGCAAGTTCATAAGCACAAAAACACAAAAAACACTTGGCGCTCGCCAAACAATAGCGAAAGCGCCCAAACTGCATTCTGAGGGTCCTCAACGACCAACCGACACTTTCACTCCACTTCAACTGCCGCACAAACCAACACAACAAAAAATTCTCACAAATCGGTTGAATAAATTTCAGATTTGCGCTCGAAATTAAGTTGTTAAACAACAAATGAAGGCATTTTGCAAAACAAGCAACAGCAAAACTTGCAAATTCTCAAAATTTCCACAATTTCCTTTGGCGCTCTCGGTGCACGTAATTTCATATCATTCAAGCGAGTTGACTAGCAAATTACGATTATGACAGGCCATTATAATTATGATTTAGGCAAATTGTGTGTCCTCCTTTGTGTGGTGGTGGCGGCGGCGGCGGCGGCATCATCGGCGATGGCATCACTGTCGTGTTATTTACTCTGCACAAAAGCACAGGCTGCAGCCTCAGTGGAAGTACACCACTTACTGTATGCGTATACACCTCTGCCCTGCCTATGTGAGTGTGTTTGCTCATTTACACACACATGAATTGTGAAGTAGTCACTAATTTTCCATATTAACTACTTTTCATTGCATATCTTGAGGCGCATGCAAAAATATACGGAAATGCGTACGCCGAGCACACCACTGCGTATGAGCAACGTGCATGTAAGTTTTGGAATTAAAATTTGCATGACAAAAGAGTAAGAAATAAACACTAAAAAGCGGATGTTAATTACTCGACGAAGTAATAATGAGATTTTGATGAAGATGCTGAGAAAGTTCATTCCATTTACTATTCTACAATGTCTCCACTCCCCAACCCTAAGGCATTGTGTTAAACAGGCAAGCTCATGCTTGGGGGGGGGGGGGAGTCACAAGAGACTTTTTTTTTTCAAAATTTAAGAGCTTCTGCACGCTCTGCCCCACTAGAAACAACATTCCTTTTATCCATCCTTTGTGGGCGTAAAAGTTCTTACACAAATTAAGTGGCTTCGAGGTAAAAGAGAGAATATCAATAAATCCAGGCGTAACTAAAGCATAACTAAAGCGTCTGTGGCACATATAGGGCTCTTAACGGAAACATATTCATAATAAAAAAATTCAGTAAGCGTAGTTTCTTTATTAAATACTAAATAAAACACACATTATTCCACAGATTTTTTAAAAAATCTTTGTTTTATTGTTTTAAAAAATTGGAAGAAAGCTATTAAATATTTTTTTCATTTCAGAATCCTGTCGGGAAATCGCATCCAAGAGCTACATAGTTACGATTTTCAACATTTGGAGCGCTTAACTGAATTGTAAGTAGCAAAAATTATTTAAACAAATTTTGTTTAGCTTAGTTTACATATATATATATGTACATATGTACATATTAAAGGCAGTTTCAAGCATTTAAAGGAAATTGGAGTATATTTTTCCACACTCTTTGAGTAAAGAAAGTAAAGAAATTTATTTTTGGCTACCAAAATTTTACTTTAAGCCATTAATTTTATTTATTTTTATTTATTTAAAACTGTATTTGCATAATAAAATAATTTCCCAGTTACCTAATTTAAAGTTTCGCTCCACCCATGAACAGCTTTGGTCGTAACTAAGAAAACTTAATAAAAGCTAATAAAAAATAAATTTGATTTTGAGTTAAAAGAAAAAAAACAAAAGCTCTCAAAAATCATTTTGAATAGTTTGAGTTTTTTTCAAACACTTTTATGTCTCTTTACGGTTTTTAAATTTTCTGTTGAATTAATTCCTTGAGTACTCCTTTGCCTGCCAACGAACCACTTTAGAAATAAATCAAATATATGTCTATAATCATAGAAATCGCGCTGAAAATTATGTAAACGTATATGTATTTGCACAAGTGAAATTTTTCTCACATACACAAAAACAAATTTCCTACATAAAAATATGTAATTTTCTCAATAATAAATGATAGAAAATCTTGTAAGCAATTTGTAAGCCTCTCCAATAGAGACGCATATGAAAAACTGTTTGCACATACAAAAAAAAAAAACACACACACACACATATAGACTTTTGAAGAGTTTGATGAAATTTAAAATTCCGTTGACTATTTAGATTTGGGATTTCACTTTTATTTGCAGAGACCTGCGTGGCAACCGCATTGAAACATTTGAAGCGAAAGTTTTTGAAGATTTGCAGAGTCTGGAAGTGCTGTGAGTATGAAAAAAAAAAAACAAAAAAAAAAAAAAAAAAAAAAAAAAAAAAAAAAAAAAAAAAGAAAAAGTGAAAGATAAAAGTGAAATAGAGGAAATTACAAAAGCTATCAGGGGAGGGGCTCGCATGATAAATTGAAAAAAAAAAAAAATAGAACTGGTATACATATCCAATATCCAATATATATATATATATATATATATAGAAAACCGTATTAATTTGTTTTTTTTTTTTAGTCTTATTTCTATTACATATGTTACAATATTATTACGGTAGACTAAAGAAATTTGTTTGATATTAAATAAAAATAAAAAAAATAAATGCGACGAGTTAAAATAAAAATTAAAAAAAAAAAAAATAAATTAATATTCCAACTGTTTATTTTAATAAAAAATCGTGTTAGAATAGTGTGCTTTAGCCATGTGGAATTTAGCAGAATTAAGATATTTTAAGTGCTTTCCATCAAGCGGGATTTGAGAGAAATGTGAATAACAAGAGCCCCAAGCTCCACAATATTACACATCAAATCTTCTTAATTGTAAAAAAATTTTTTTTTGGTTTTCAATAGTTTTTAATAATAATAAAAATAACATAAAGTCATACAATTAAGTGAAAAAAAATTTTTAGTATTAATTTAAAAAATGACATGTTTGAAGCACTCGAAAACTATTTTCACTAGTTTTTAATCAACTGTCGCCCTTTTTGTGTCCTAAAGCTACATGTGATGCACAGACACATTCATAAATATTTCAATCGACAATTTATGAGCTGTTAATGGCTGCGCTTACATTTGATTGATTGATGGATGACAACAAATGTGTGTGCAAGCACATACACAAACTGTAACACACACAAAAAAAAAGAAAAAAATACAAAAACACGTAGCATGCTTTCAGGCGCAATGAATTGCAGTAAAAAGTGAAAATTCATTTGTGCTTGGTGGTGGCGAAAAAAATCTAATAAAATACATTTAAAAAAACAACAACAAAAGGCAATATATATCCAAAGCGCCAGCAAGCATTTAACCGTTATGGTCACTTTAATGAATAAAACGTCCTTTTCCGTTCTCATTGACTCTACACACACTTAACCTGCAATTTTTTGTATCTCATTCCCGGAACGTGACCTTTTGCTACCAAAATAAACGCCTACAAAATATTTTTTAAATATTCCATTGTTAATTAGTGACGTGTAATTTCAATATTGGTTGTTAGTGCAGAGGTTAAAATTTGTTGTTGGTCGTTGTCTAAAATAGACGTGCGCCCTTCGAAATAAATACTCGTATGTCTGCAGTTATTGCGTCAATGGCCAACAGGACGTATACGCAATATGACTGTCGTGCCCCATTTAGCCCTCGTTCGATGAGTCGGTGCTTATGCATAATTTCAAAATAGTCATTTATTTGCACAAAAGATAAATTGTGTTCGTACGCAAGCGGAATTCGTAGTTTTTTTATTAATTGTGGTTGGTTCTTCCATAGGAAAAGGAAAAGTTTTGTGTGGGCTTAGAATTGTGTTGACAAAGTTTTAAATGAAAAGTGACCTTCTTAAATCAATAGGAATATTTTAAATTTAACTAATGTTTAAGTTAAGTTTAAGGTTAAGTTTATGTTTATGCTTACGGTTACGGCTAGCGTTAAGGACAAGCCTAAGGTAAAAGTTGCGGTTAAGGTTAAGAGTAAGTTTAAGTTTAATTTAAGTTAAATTTAAGTTTAAGTTAAGTTTAAGTTAAGTTTAAGTTAAGTTGAAGTTAAGTTTAAGTTAAGTTTAAGTTAAGTTGAAGTTAAGTTTATGTTAAGTTTAAGTTAAGTTTATGTTAAGTTTAAGTTAAGTTTAAGTTGAAATGAAGCTAAGTTTATGTTAAGTTAAAGTCAAGTTGAAGTTCGATTTTAAGTTTAAACTTAAGTTTAAGATAAGTGGAATTTTAAGTCCACTGGTAACGTTACCAATCTGAGAGCATGCAAACCTGTGGTGTAAATTTTACAATTAAATGCCGACTCCATCTCTGTCCAGAAAATACGTTGGACGGTGCAAGGATGGATAAATGTGACTCGTAATTAAATAAAAAAAAATTGGTCTTGCATTTATGAAAGGAGTGAGACTATCTCGCCAAGCCCTGGCATTCACCGCGGTTGATGCATATCTATTCATAGTCCGGATCAAAGCGATGTTATATTGGTGCCTCACGCTCTGATGGAACAGAAGAAATATGTGACCCAAGATGCTTTATAAGAGCGCCTCGAACGCATCTATGACTTACCCCCGACAAGATGTAGAAAACGTACTTGGCAATTTTAACGACAGGTTGGGCAGGGTAGATGTCTTCAGCACAACAATCGGTAAATGCAGCTTACGTGAGGAAACATCCGCAAACGGATTGTACCGGAACCCTAATATAGTTGACCGTAGCAAAAGATTCAGACACAAGAGACTTCGCCAAGCTACATGAATGTCACCGGTTCGAAAGGGGCGAAACCTATTCGACAGTTAACATGTGCGAACATTCCGAGGATTAACTTTAACTATTTATTTAACTATTCTTTAAAAAAATCAATTTTATCTTTCACTCTTAAAGAAAAAAATCGGAATTTCAATTCCACACCAGAAGCCTCTACTATAAATATGACATATCTCAATATTTCACTTAAATCAATTTAATAATTCCCTTCACTTTCTCTCCTCCTCTACTCAACACACAGTTATCTCAATGAGAATTTCATTCATCAAATCCGCCCGGGCATGTTTCCGTTACTCACCAAGCTACACACTTTATCGCTGGCCCACAATTGGATCGTCGACATCGAACGGAATTCGTTTACATTCCCGCGGTTATTGCATTTGTAAGTATGTTATGTAAGTTTATGTAAGTGAAAATATTATCAAATCAGCAGAGGTAGAGTGGCAAAACGCGATAGAGAGTCCACTGGATGAAGGGGCGCACGGCGAGGGTGCAGATGTTGGAGAAGATTAAAGTGAAATAGCACACTTGAGTACACAAAATGCCAAATTTCTGTATTATTACAAGCATTTATGTGCAAACATACAGATTTACAAACAGTAGTACACTTTTACGCTCTTGTTGGGAAAAGATATGTAAATTTTTGTTTGGGATTTTTATCGAAAATTTCAGCGTACACAAATCCGTTTTAAAGAGAGCCACTGACACACACACCACACACACATTCACATACAATATAATATATGCTTTGGGCACTTATATGTACATATGTTTGTACATATGTAAGTAGTTCACCTCATACAACCAGCTGTTTATATACACACACACACACACACACACACACACACACCCACTAAAATCGACGGAAATTCACACAAAATACTTGAGAATTTATATGCGCACAAGACGGAAGCATAGAGACCGACAAATATTATAAATTTAATGCACAAATACATACATATATGTATATGAACATACATACGTTGAAGCAATTGTAAACAATGCAGGAGCGTATAGAAAGCTAACGGTGTAAATATGTTTTTTGTTTGCTTCGATAACAACTTATTTGCGAGTCTAGTAGATTTCGGGGAATAAAGTGCACAGGGTTGCTTGAAAATATATATTTTTGGATATAATACAAAAGGTTTTTACAAAAATTAATTTTAAAAATATTTTGAACATTTTTGAAATTTTTCAATTTCTTAAAATTTTTTGGGGTTAAGCTGTTGCATGTAAATGTCTTTTCTTGATAAAAGAAATAGTCTTAAAAAATATTTTTTACGAAAATAAATACATTTTTTTCAGAAAATATTTTTTTCTAATTAATATATGTTACAACTACAAAAAGTGCTCAAATATATAATAAAAAAATTTTACTTAAATAAAAATTCAATTAATGCACCAATTTTTACAAAAATATATATATTTAAAAAATACGCTTTTATATTTTATTTATTTAATTAATTTAATTTAATTAAATGATCCATAAATTAAGCAGTTTTCTTTCATATAAAATGATTGTAATTAAAAAAAAGTTTCCTTTTTCAAAAATGAGCTACAATTTTTCGTAAAAACTTTATTTTAATAAAAATTATTAGTTTTAATGTGACTAAAATTTAAAAAAATTCCTATTTGGTTCATGTACAATTTTTTCCGATAAATTATTATTTATCCCTAATTAAATAAGATATAAGTGATTTTGAATGTTTTTTTTTTATTAAATTCATTTTATGAAAAATATGCAAAAATATATTTCAAATATCAAATAATAAATATTAATATGTATTTGGGAAGAGCTTAAAAAGTTATTAAATATAGATAAAAAACTTTAAATAAGATTAATAATATTTTCTATTTTTTTTTTAACATTTAATTTCCCATCACTTTCACTTTCTCTCTCTTTTGTAGATTTCTAGCCGGTAATCGACTATCTGTTCTGCGTACACGCACCTTCTGCCCGCTTCGTCTGCTGCAGGGACTGTAAGTACGCATTTGAAATACAGTTTAATATTTATTGAGCGCTTAGTGTACAAATAAATACAAATAATTTTACTGGAATTATTGCCGACAGCATTATGAAAGCTTCATTGGAATTTCCTTTTGTTGCTGCTATGATTTATGCATTTAAATAATGTACTCTTGCTTTTCATAAATATGCAAATATATTATATGTTTTTAAATTGCAATAAGTTTTACTTTGTCGAAAGCTTAAGTTATTTAATTTGTGAGAATTCTTTTTTTCTTACTTTTTGTGTACTTAATTCATTTAAGATAGTTTATTTATTATTTTTTACATTTTTATTTGCTTTTATTTAATTTTTTATTTCAATGTTTTTTTAAAATAATATAATTTTATTTAACTTTCATTTTAGTTCAACTTTATTACTTTTTATATTATTTAAATTTAATTTTTTTGTACCATTTAATGTTTTTATATTCAATTTTAATTATTTTTCATTTCATCTTATTTCATTAAATTTAAAATACAATTTTATTTAAATTATTACAATATATATTGTTTGATTTTATTATAGTTAAAATTTCATGTGAAATTTATTATTTAATTTTATTTTATTTTTTAACTATTTTGACACCTAATTTCATTTTATTAAGCTCAATTTATGTCAATTGAATTTTATTGCATTCCAAAACTTACCGGGGCGTATACGTAACAATGGAATTTGTACTTCAATGACTATTCAGGCATCTGCATTCTCATGTACAATGAAATGTTCGAAGAATATTTTCAGGGGCAAGTACTTACACATATTTAATAGGGAAGCACATTGACGACAAACTCACAATAATTCAAGTTCAAACAAGCATTTTATTTTTGTAGTTTTTATTTTTCTGTTCTAACACTTGGTCAAACGATGAAAAAAGAAACAAATTTAAGTGATATTATGTATTTATCCCACGAAATACGTGGTGCTCATCATGTATGCGTATGTATGTGTGCTAACGATGACACCTAATGATATTCGCTTAGACATGACAACACGCTTGGGAAAGAAACGTAATACCACGATGAATGCTCATCGAGAGGGCAAATGGAATAATATTTCAGAAAGAAAGCGAAAAAAGCAACAACGAAAAACAAAATAAAATAAATAACCAAATAGCTGTTTCTCTGTGGACATCGAAAATGCGTGACTCCGTTAAGGGATAATCGCAAAATATATGAAAAGTAAATAGCAATGAAATCGACAGATCAAAGCTTTCGCCGTAACAACTTTAGGCCCAACGAATGGGGTTTATTTGCCAGGTGGATTTACTAACGGGACTTTTTTGTTAGTATTTTTTCAGCACATGTTTATGTGTATATGTATGCCTGCCGCTGTTTGCGTTAACCTGAGCCAGCTGCAGTGGAGAGATAAACAGCTACCGCCTGATATTTACGAGCCCTGCCGCCATCTTCCTCAGTTGCCCCCAACTGCCAGTCTTAACTGTCATACTATTCATTTCTACAGCTTAGTTTTATGCATTTAGACATATACATACGCATTTGTTTTTTCGCTTAGTTTTCCATCATCTTCCTCAATAAGAGGCAATCAATAGCAAATTGGATTTACTAGATTACTTTCACCAGCTACGACTGATAGGCGGTACCACAACAAATTTCAAAGGAAAAAGTCAATTTATTAAAACAAACAAATAAAAATAAGCGCAAAAAAAAGAAAAACAAAAGATAAAGCGTTTCCCGGAAATAATAAGAATTTGTGGTTTGCTGTCTTCTGAGCTGTGAACATTTTCTTAATAAAGGTCTTGGTATTTAAAGATAAAGAAATAAAATAAAATAAAATAAAATAATATAAAATAAAATAAAATAAAATAAAATAAAATCAAATCAAATAAAATAAAATAAAATAAAATAAAATAAAATAAAATAAAATAAAATAAAATAAACTAAAATAAAATAAAACAAAAAAAATAAATAAAATTAAATCTAGTAAAATAAAATAATGTATAATATAAAAATTAGTTGAAAATGAGGAACGTGTTTCCAATTTTGCGACCAAAACAGTGTATTGCTTTTAAAATTTCCTACACAATGGGCAGTCATTTTTTACCTAAGAATCTTATACATTTTTAAATTCAGTCAATTGTGTCACCTCAACGTCAAATCAATTTTTCCTCTTTTCTATTCTTTTAACTTCGCTTACTTTAATTTTATCTTAGATTTAATTTTTATTTTTATTTCTTGGAATTTATTTTGCATATTTTATCCTGCAGTTTTAGCTAACTGGAGCTGCTGGGACTCCTCTGTTCTCATATGCATTTCATGGCTTTTAGTTTACGGCTGGTGGCTTTAGTCCAATCATTTTTATTTCATACAAATTCTCTTACTGCATCTGTATTTTGCCTCTGTCTCTTTCTAACCTAGACACCTGAACGACAATCGCTTGGCACGTTTCGAGTTGCACGCTTTCGATTGCATGCAGAATCTCACATCGCTGCTGCTGACGGGCAATGAATTCAAGACATTGGATCCGCGTGTCTTGCAGAATCTGACGAATTTGAATTATATGTAAGTAGAGCAATGCAGGTTTGAATAAATATGTACAAAATATATACTTGCAAACAGAGCTGAGTGTGTGTATTGTTGTTGTGTGCGAGTGCAGTTTATACGCTTCTTGCCACACGAACTGACGCTGTGTAAATGTTGACATTTTACTCGGTTTCCAGTCAGCTCATCATGACAAACTCAAACTATTTTGTCTATTTCTTGCCTTTTCTGCTTCATTCTATTCTATATATTTACTTTGTTGCAGTTACTTCTCGTGGTTCCATTTATGTCGCGCTGCCCTGCACGTGCGCGTCTGTGAGCCGCGTGGCGATGGCATTAGTAGCACTTATCACTTGTTGGATAATCAAATATTGCGCGGCAGGTAAGTAGTACAACCCGCCAGTTATGGTGGGTGGTTGACTAGAGCAGAGAGCATGATTAAGGCATATTTTTAAGTAAAAAGTGGAAAATGCATGAAAAAGATATGCTCACTTCAGTAGTGCAATTAGAGTGGTCTGGAAAGAGGAGGTTAACAAATTTTGGTTAACAAATATTTTAAACTTTAAGACTAGCTAAACCTCTTCAATTTGATACCCATATTGTAATGTTGTTTATATTAGTTTATTTTTTTTTTTTTAAATATGGCAACCCCACCCAAATTATTTATAGTTACAGGCATTCTGAAAAGTGTTGAATTGTATAACCATAGTGAAAATTCGCATCTTCTTAATATCTTTAAGTAGACAATTTTAAATAGGTGGCAACTCTACTCAAAAATGTTTTCAAATTCAACATCAATAAGATGTGGTCAGTTAGTTGGCTTATTGTTATAATTAACTACTATTATTATTTTAAATTTTCCTAAAATAGTGGCAACCCTATTAAGAACATGTTTAAGTAGGACCCTCTTCAAACTGCTGAAGTTGTTGAAGATCATATGAAGATTTGGTTTTAAACCATATCATTTACCAAACGATTTCAAACCAGTGACAACTTTGCTGTAACATGTTTTCAAACGTAAGCCTGCTGAAATTCATATTTTGATAATTGAATTAAATAAATTTCACTTTTTGGTAAAAACTTTGTAGAAAGATGGTAACCCTACTCAAACACATTTTTGAAATTAAATTCGCTGAAATTTCTTCAGTTTAAGGCCTTCATTGTAATAATTTCTTTAGCTTAAAAATATATACAGTTAAATAGATGGCATCCCTGCTCATAATCACGTGTATGTGTATAGGTAATGTAAATATTTTGTAATTTTAATTAATCCAAGGTAAAGCAACTGCATACTGATAAGCACCTTATTCTCTTATGTTTACTTCTTGATGAGTTCTGAGGCTTGAATTTTCCCTGTATACCGAGAACTGACTAAATGCTTATCGGCCACTTTTTTAACTGAGTCTGGAGTTATATAGAACTATAAAGACATGACGAGAGTCGTCAGTTTTTCCAACTCCCAACAGTTAAGCAGAGCTTTTATATAGGGGCTTAAGATATTGCCCTCCATAAGGTTTGCCTGTCTTAGGAGGCGAATAAAATCCATAATTTCCCACGAGAGAACGTTTTTGTACCGAAGCGACCCAGGTATTGTCAGCAAGCGTTATCAGTACGGGTCACAAAACCCAAACGACAACAACAACAATAACATGTGGCGTAACTGAATGTCGCATGAGCTCTGATGTCTCCCGAATTTGAGATTATAAGAGACTGGTTTCTCTATCGCGTTGGCTTTGGATGAGGTAGTCAGCTCAGCAACTTGTATGAAGTCAACGAAAAGCTGCGAATACCGTCTCTCTAAAACAAAGTTAACCTGCTATCTGCGTGTTCGAGTAATTACAGGAGTAGGAGTTGGAGTTTTCTATTAGCAGCTTCTTATTGAATCTGACTTAAAGGTGATAGAACTGTTAGGTTACATGGACTTAGACTTAAGTTTCATGCCCATTTACTAGGCCTCTTCTCTGCTCAGACGCCAGATTAGATACCAGACTGTACACAGACTAGACACCAGACATTTGTTTCACCAAAATTTGCTTGGGACTTACTTGCAGGAGCTGAGCTTAGAATGAAACAAGACTAAGTGAAAGAGTTTGGTAAGGAAATTTCTGTCAGAGCACTTTTCCTTGTTTCCAAATTTGCAGTTTTTGAAGGCCGCTGCTATCAGAAGAACGGCAATTGAGGACGGCATATTTTCGCCTTTGTTGAACCGAAAAACCAATAGATGAACTCACGAGGATGGATAACTCGAAAACAATATTACCTTTAAATAAAATTTTTATTAATTTTGGGGTGTCAATGTCTGCCCATTTTTGAGCTTCTCCTATAAAACTTAAGGGGCTTGCCTAGTAGCGTCAATGTAAATTGAACTGTCAAGTACTTCGCACTTTCTTCGTCACAACGCCGGCCTTTTGCCTCTGTTCTTTACGAGTGTGATATGAAATCTGTGGTTCCTTCAGTTCAGCTTACAACAGTGCGGCATTGAGATGTAGGCCCTCAGGAATTCTTATATATATATATATAATTGGCGCTTTTCGGCCGAGATCCTCCCCCGATTTGTGGTTTTACGTCTTGAAGTTTTTCCAACAAATGGAGGGACCTACAGTTTATACTAAGCCGCCTCCGAATGGCTGATGGTTTTTTAACGAGATGCCTTTATTTCACGTCTTACATAGTCCAAAATACCTTTAACATTAGATTCCCCTCCCTCACTCTTGCCGTTGGCTTAAGTTTACAGCGCAAAATATTTTTTCTTTATTATTTTTTTTTTTGTATTTTCCTCATTCCAAAGTTTTTTTCAGTACATTAAATATCATGACTTCTTAACTTTTCCCATTGATTTGTCATTGCTTTTAACCAATTCTTTGAGTGCCATCATTCCTCTGTCCTTGCCTGCTACTACTAGTAAGTAATCACATTAAAAATTGAAAGAAACTCTCCAAGCAATGAAAATGTGGCATTGAAGTACACTTTTCGCTTTGCAGATACACACATACTGTATGTAAATGAAATTTAAATTATCTATTTGCTATGTAAGGTGCAAAATGTGGGGAAAACCTCAATAGAGTGTGGGAAAAAATTTAAAAAGTAGGTTGCTCATACGCCCTGACAGCCCAAAAGTGGGCGAAGTTCACTGAAAGTGTGACTTTATCATTTTGAAAATTTGTTTAGCAAAAGAATCAACTAATGAAATATTTTCCAACACACATGCAACGTTTTCAATTTATTTATTTCTTTCGACCCAAAAAAATAATGCAAACAATACTTGAAAGAGACAAAACCGGCATCGACAGACACTGTTAATCCAAACACGTACGGAAGAGCAAATAGAAATTTGAAGCAGAAATGAAATGTGGAACCAACGAGAATAAATAGCAAAATAAAAAACAAAAAATAGGAAGTTTAAAAACAACAAAAACAGGCCGTCAAGCCGCCGGAAATAATACTTTCATAAAACTTTTTGCTTTAGCCACAGCCATTCAAGCACGTGCTGCACTTCCGCGTCCGTCCATTTACCAGCTGTTCGCCGGGCAAAAGCGTAAAAGGCAAATAGGCAAATATGCAGAAAAACTAGACAACAAGTAGTGGAAAAAATATATAAATAAATAAAAAAATAAAATAAAAAAACTAGAAAAAAAAAATTAAAAAGCGAAAAGTAAGTGAAAAAAGTATTATAAAGTTGAAAAGAAAAATAAGTGAAAAAAAGTTGTAAACATAATTTTTCTGAAAACTAAAAGTTTCTCTGACGCGTTGTAAATTATTTAGTCGCGCACAAAAGTTTGGTTAGAAAAACAAAATTTTTTTTTTCACTTTTTAATTCTGTGTCTTTCTGCCGGCGGAGCTTAAAACTGACTGGAAAGTTCATGTAGTGCACAGCTGATGCCCGGAAAAGTGAAAGTTTGTTTTACAGGGGCCTTAAATTAGTTTAAAATCAAGTGATAAGCAATGAGAGGGCAGAAGAGAAGGTGGAACAGAAAGAATTTTGTTTAGTGTGAGATTTATTAAAAAAAAATAAAATAAATAAAACAAATTTTGTGCACCAATGTATGTGTGTCCCCACTTTTTATTATTAATATTCGGAAATTTAAACAAAAAAAAAAAAAAAAAATATTAACAGCCTCTTAGTTTTGTAGGAAGCTTAAACTTCAGCACCATGAACTAGATTATGAGTGTTGAGCGGAGTTTAGGTTTTTTTAAGGCACGAGGGGTGAGTTAAATTTAGATGAATTTGTACTATGAGCGTGTGCTGAATTAAGCTGGAAGCATGAGTTGTTCTATGATTATTGCACACATTTCTTTAAACTATATCTTGCGAATAAATAAAAAGAAATTCCATTAACTCATCTCCACTCAATAACTCTTCTCTCTCATTCAACAGCGTGTGGATAATGGCTTTCGTCGCGACTATTGGCAATTTACTTGTTCTCCTCGGTCGCTACTTTTACAAGTCCCGCAGCAACGTTGAGCACTCATTGTATCTACGTCATTTGGCCGCCAGCGACTTCCTTATGGGCGTCTACTTAACGATAATTGCTTGCGCTGATATTAAATTTCGTGGCAAGTATATAATCTACGATGAATTATGGCGGCAGAGCGTGTGGTGTGATTTCTCGGGTGAGTAAAAGAAAATATTGAAAATATTAAAAAATAAAATAAAATAAAATAAAATAAAATAAAATAAAATAAAATAAAATAAAATAAAATAAAATAAAATAAAATAAAATAAAATAAAATAAAATAAGATTAAAATAATAAAATTAAATTAAATATGTTGGGTGCAACGTCGTCCTTGACATTAAAAGCTTCACTTTTATCTCAAATGAAATTGAACTGATTTGGCGTTGCGTACTCATTAAATTAACTTTTGGGAGCAAACAGTGAGATTCTCGACAGCACTAAGTACTCTTCTAAACTTTCTTTCCTTAAATCTCTGCCGGAAATTCGAAGTGAGCTGTAACTCAGTTAGACCGAGGGTGATAGAGTTTTTGCAGATGACAGACGGATACTAACTTCCTTGCAAATTTTGAAAAAAGTGCTCTGCAAAGCCTATTATCATTCCTTAATTCCTTTTCCGCAAGCATTCCTTAGAGTGACTCAAAACTCAATGACCAAGGTAGGTCCTTCATCTACAATACATCACTTTCACTCAACTAGGAGCAGGAGATTGGCACATGGCTTCAGCCGCCGGTAGAGTGATTAAATCTAAGATCACTAATCAATCAATGACTATGCACAGCCAAGCTGAAATCAGATTTGAAAAGTAGCAATAAAATTGATTTTCGAAGAAATTCCTGCTTGCAGATATATGAGGAAGCTGCGCCGCGCACGTGCTGTACACTACCTTCGTGTGGTGTTGAGCTACTCACAGCGAGCGTTGAAAATCTGCCTCATAGCAGTACTACAATGGGCCAAAAGGGCTTAGTATGCTGGCCACTAGTCGGCAGCCATTTTAGCTCAACTCAAATTGAGTTTCCATCGGACACTAAAAAGGTCCGATAAGTCTATGTGAAGCGCAGCAGCCAGCTGATACAACCCTTCTAACCTAAAATAATATAGAAAATTTAAAAAATTCCAAAAACGACAAGTTTGTTGAAATAAGTTAAAAAGAAAAATAATCTTGAGACACAAATAATAATTAGTGTTATCGAAAAACCCAAATTTGTAATGCTTCCGGTGTTTGTTTTGATTGACTTTGGCTGCTTTGTTAAACTTTTTCGGCTTTTTTCACTTCCTTTTTATATTTATTATCTTATTTTGTCTATTCATGATTCGTTTTTTGTCAACTTATGCCTGCCTTTTTGTCATTTCAGGCTTTCTCAGCACATTCAGCTGTCAATCATCGACTTTGTTATTGACGTTGGTCACTTGGGATCGCTTAATGTCAGTGACGCGACCACTTAAGCCACGCGATAGCGGGAAAATGCGGTAAGTAGGGAGCAGAGCAGACCACACTCTCCTCATCGGCTTCCTTCTGTTCTTTTGTGGGTGTCCGTTAGGCTGACATTTGCATAACAAAGAAAGACTCGAAGGGCTAGAGTGTGTGTACTGGTCTTTCGACTATGAGTTAATCTTAATGCTGGACTACAACAATGCATTGGTTTCTTCATCAGCAGGGAGTTACTCCCAATTAGAGATAAACACACTGCGCTAGAGCCGGCTTTGAGTGTCTGATTATGGCTAAGCCGTGGCTGAGAGCCTTCGATGGGCATTCAGTGCGCCGAACTGCAAAACTACCCATCCGCCTGCCCGTTTCGAGAGCTACGTGAGACGCCGTTATACTTTCGCCAAGCCCCTTCAGACGCAACAAAGTCGATATAGAGGCTTCTGGCGCACATTCTATGAAAAGTGTTCGTCATTCCACTTGTGGAACTCCAGCCAACTTGACTTTCGCACAATTCAATCACTTTTAAATGCCAAATCGCTTGACTTATGGAAATCTTTTCCATTAAATTTTTATTGCAAACACCTTTGGATGTCCTTCAACACCTTGAACAAATTTATTTCCAACCCGTACCCGTACGCGGCTGAGCATATCCATCATATTTATTTGTTATTGTTTATGCTCGGTTCAAAGTCACAGCCTTAAAGTAACACACATCAACACCTGCACACACTCACAAGTTGAGTATTTTGCATAAATAAAACGTGACTTCTGTCGGCTCTGTGGCTTGATGAGGCCGCATGGGTGGGCTGACCATACCATTCGGCAGTGTACAGTGACCTCTAAGACTTGAGTTGCTTGTCGATTTCTCTGCTTCCTTGCTGTCTGGCTGACCACCGGAGCAAGTGTTGCGTGGCGTTTACTTAAAAGCTTCTATTTTTACGGCTTTGACACTAACACTTAGAGACTACGGCCAGCTGGTGGTCGGTTGGTGGTCGGTTGGTGGTCGGTTGGTGGTCGGTTGGTGGTCGGTTTGCGGTTGGCGTCTTCATTTCGTTTCTATTTTTGCCTCTACACTTTGGCAAGCGTTTTGCCGCCTCCTCATCTCTGCAACTCAGAGTGCCTCTTGACTTTTTAATTTCTCACTTCGCTTTCTTCCTGCCACAACCTCCTCGGCCCTACCTCATTCCGCCAGCCATTTATTGTGTCGCAAATACTCTGTTTTCCAAAGCTCGCACGTATTTCATGAGCTCAACGCACGTTCGGTTGGAAATGTTTTGCTACTTGAATTTATAAAAAAAAAATTAAAAACTCATGAGATTGATGAGCTCGTTGGTCGGACTTGGTCCTTAAGTTGCCATAAAGCGTCGTTTGAGTGTTCATAAATTTGAGAGACTCATTAGGAGATGTTTAAAATTGAATCGAAACGATTAGGCGAGCAAATTTTTTAGTGAAAAAATTAATATTGGTGTCATGGAGCACGAGCTGGGGTATGTGGGAGGCATACCTCAGCTCCTGTGTGGTTTTATGGAGTGTCGGGAGTGGGTATGCATAAGGAAGTTATACTCTTCTCCGTGAGCACTACGAATTTCGGTCAGAACTCTTCGAGTGTGGTGTTCCCCTCTGAGTGCTGAACTTTTAGAAGAAGGTTAGTAAACTTTCAAACCAAAGAGTGAAGTAAGTTCTGCAAGGCAGTCGATAATAAAATTACCGAGGAAACGATGTTGGACCGCACTGAGCGCTGGGCTCACTTTTCCGTGTTTATGTTCGATTGTTATGCTCGTTGTGGTTCTATTGTAGATGGAATAGAGACTTAGTCAATATCCACGCCGTGTGCAGAGTTTATCGTGGTTGCGGCTGTTCCTCTACTACTAAGCTCGCCGGCCTTGCTATTGCATCGTCGGCGTTAAACCCGGACACCCAAACCAGATAGTTTCACAGTTTTCTAATCTGTAGGAATGGACCTCAAAAGTTTTAGGTTATTTGTGGTTTATTGGCTTAGCGCACAAGGAAAACTACGAGAAAAATCTTACACCCGGCATACCACTCTGGCACTATGGACACTTCAGTGGTAACAAGATCTTTAGAAACACTTTGCTGACTGAGATGAGGTACCGCACTTCAAGCACCTACCACTGGAAATCAATTCAAATACTCTCTCAGCTACGAAAGATGCGCACAAAGCGGGTAGCTTTTTGAGATTGCAGGAGTTAATCCCCTCATAAATGTCTATCTCTTTTATTGATATTCCGAAATTCCTACCTACCACTTAGCTTCTTTCCAGCTACATCAAATAAAGCGCATTTACAACATTAGCCAGCTTTCCATCCTCGTCGCTGATAAAATATTCAATTTCAATATTTATATACTGTTTCTCTGCTTTTTTATTTTCAGAATTATTTTTCGTCTTGTCCTGCTATGGGGCTTGTCCTTCCTACTTGCAGCTCTGCCATTTCTACCGCTACAGTATTTCGGTGGACATTTCTATGGCACTAACGGTGTTTGTCTTTCATTGCATATACACGATCCATTTGCAAAGGTGAGTTGAAGAGACCTAAATAACAAAGCTCAATAGAAATATATACATATATACAACGAGAAAATGAACATCTACTTGTGGTGGAAAAAAATCGAAATGAAGCCAAAACCCAGTAAAGAAAATTCACAGAAAATGTGGAAAAGTATTTTTTATAAAAAATTATTAAAAAAGAAATGATACAAAAAAGGTATGTGTCTTTGATAAAAAAAATTAATCTCACCACAAATGTAGGCAACGTTTTACCTTCGTTCATTATTTTGTGTGTGTTAATAGATAGCAAATAAAATATTGCTTACATTTAGGCTACGATGGAAATGAGTACTTAGCAATAAAAATGAGACCAATCCGGTATGGAATGCTTTTAAAGTGCTTTTCGCTAAGATTTTAGAGAGCCTTTGCGTTACGATTACATATTCTTTATCAAAAAAAAAAAAAAAAAAAAAAAAGGAAATAAATAAAAATATAGAAATTTACGCTTTAGCAATTTGTTTACACAAAAGTCGCCTGCTTCTCTTCTCTTTTGTGCGGAGTAAATTGCATTTCCATTTTTCCCCGCTGCCATTTTTCACATTTGATTTTCCAAAAGTTTCATTGTTATGCTTCGCAATTTATTTACATATTTTTACATTTCCTCACCTCCAATCGTTTTCTCAATTTTACAAATTAAAGTTATTATTTGATTCATTTTTTTCTCTCCTCTTTTTCCACTCACTTCTTGCAGGGTTGGGAGTACTCTGCTCTACTCTTCATACTCATCAATACCATTTCGTTGATTTTCATATCGAATTCTTACATTCGTATGCTCCAGGCGATACGCGACTCAGGCGGCGGCATGCGGAGTACGCTGAGTGGACGCGAGAATGTCGTGGCAACGCGGTGAGTTGTTGTTTGCTTCAATTATTTGGCTTTTGGCCACGGACTTGTTCTTCCCTTGAGAGGTGGCGTAATGGACTAGGGGATGTGGGGGAGGAAAGGGAGAACATGTTTTGCTGTATTAAATTTGATCTATTCGAACTGATTGGCTATTTTTAATGTAGAGAGAGAAAAGAAATAAAAATAGAATTAAAATTCAACGAAAAAAAAATAAAAAAAATAAAACAAATTAAAATAAAAATAAAGTAAAAGGAAATAAAATTTAAAAATACGAAATTTAAATAAGAAAATATAAAAAAGTAAGTAAAAATTGGCCGAAAAATCGCTTAAACGGTTACAAAGCCTCCATTGTATATATAAGTAAAAATTAGCTAAATTATGTTAAAATTATAAATTAAAAATATATTGAAGGTTTTGAAATATAAATTAGAATAAATTTAAAATTTGTATAAAATATAATAAATTAATAAAAAAAATAAATAATTGTAAAAAAATGAGATATTTCGTAATAAAAATAATTAAAAAATAAAAAAGAATTAATTAAAAGAAAAAGAACTTAATTATTTATTAAAATAAAGCAAATAAAAAATTAAAATATATTTTGTAATTATTTTATGGAATAAATAAATAAACAAAAAATTTAATTTAAATATTAAATGTAAAAAACTTAATATAAAAATATCAAGCAATAATAAAATGAAATGAAAGTATAAAATATAAAAAGTTTTTAGTAACAAAAAAAAAAAAATAAAAAAAAAATAAAAAAGGCAAATAAATAATAAATAATATGAAAAAATAAATAAAATATTTAAACAAAATTAGATAAAAACAAATAATTTTATTTAAATTAATTAAAATAAGATAAAAAGAAACTATTCATTTCTCTCCATCTCTGTTCACTACAGCTTCGCCATTATAGTGACCACAGACTGTGCCTGCTGGCTGCCGATAATTGCTGTCAAAGTGGCAGCACTCTCAGGTTTGTATCTTAGCTAAACACCTCGTTGCACTAAAAGCTAATACTAAGTTTACTCTTTTCCTTTCTCTCTCTCTCTCTGTTGCCGTTCCAGGCTGTGCCATCTCACCCGCACTCTACGCGTGGCTAGCCGTACTCGTGCTTCCCGTCAACTCGGCGCTAAATCCGGTGCTCTACACACTCACCACAGCTGCTTTCAAGCAGCAGCTGCTGCGCTATTGCCAAGCAGTGCCCAACACTTGCTCTCTGATGACAGATCCTCGCTCACAGTCCCAAACCGCTTTCGATTCGAATCTCAGCATGAGTTTGGGTCACTTTAGTAGCATACGTACGAATCACAGTCACAATTGTAGTCGCTCCTCGAGCAGGAAACGATCACAGAATCGACGTTTGAGTTATGTTTGATGCGTAAGGTTTAGTGCGGAAACGGTCGGAGGGGGAGAAAGTGGCGGCTCAAGTAGAGAACTGAGATTATGCAGGAGGGGAATTGGCGATAGTGCTGAGAAGGTTAACGGTTATGCCTCATTTGTTGGTAGTGGACGCTGGCGGGACAATAAACTATAGAAAGTGTATTAGGAAATGGAAAACCGTTAATTTATTTACATACATACATATATGTAAATACTCGTATTTAGGTGTGATTGAGACATTTGTATGAGACTGTTTTTGATTTAAGCTTTTTGTCAGTTGATGTTGTAATGAGAGAAAAATAAGTAAAATAAAATTAATTTAATTAAGTAATTACATAAAGTAAAGAAAAGAAAAATAGGAAATAGAAACTAAAAGAAAAAAAAGATAAATTAATGAATATATAAAATGAATTAAAAAAAAAAATTATTTAAAGAAATTGTTAATAGAACAAATTAAGAAATAAAAAAATCAGTAGAATAAAAATATAAAAAAAAAATTCAATAAATTAAAAAAATAATTTAATGAAAAAAAGAATTTAAATTAATCATTAATAGTAAAAATTTAATAATAAAAAAATCAGTGAAAAAATAAAAGAATTAAATAAATTAAAAAAATAAATTAATTAAAAAATTAAAAAAGAAATTCACTAAATTAAAAGAAAATTAAATAAATATTGCAACATAAAATAAATTAAAAAAATAAAAATAAATAAGAAAATAAATAAAACAATTAAAAAACAAATAAAATTAAGTAAAATTTGAAAATAAAGTAAAATAAAAAATTAAAATAAAATAAGATTATATGAAATGCAACTACAAAAAATAATGATGTCATATAAAACAGTTAAAAAAAATATATATGAAACAATATAGCAAATTAAAAACATCTACGAAAACCTGTCAGGCTACAAAGCCTACAATCGTTGTGATCTGTGAAGTATTTAGCGAATATGAAATGTCTTCGATGTTAGTAAATAAGTATGTAAATTCGCTTAAGTACTTAAATAATTGTTGATTATATTACATTAAAATATATAAAGCAAATATATGTATGTATTTAGGATTTTTTTTTAATTTTTTAAATAATGAAAGTAGTATTTAAATCAAACATAATAATATTATTTATATTATAATACATACTATACAGCATATATTTGTGTAAATAATAAATAAATTATGTGACAAAGTGTTATCAGCGATTTTCGAACATTTCTACACTTAAAAATGAATTAATTTTTAAGTAAAAATACTGTAATAAGCTTTAAGGTAAATAAATGTTATACGATTTGTGTTAAAGGAATAACTGTATTTGATTTTTTCATATCAGAGAAGAAGTGAAAAATATTGGAAATAAAAAAAATGGATTGAACTTTGGTTGAACTATTTTTGAAATAAATTTTATTGGTATCTAATAATGAACCTCAATGAGAAATATATTTAAAAAATTTTTTTTAAGTTACATATATTTTTTTTCAAAATAAATTGCTTTTATTTGCTCGTTGGGTTTACGGGGCTCTTAATTCCAGTAACAGTTTTAGAGCTATTGTAGAAATATACTCGCCGTGCTGTTGGCTTTGCTAAGAGGTTCGTGTCTGGACTAAAAAATTCGCGCAGCTACATAAATTATACGCTAGCTGACGCGTACGTAAAGTTTTTTTAAAATTTTATAAAAAAACAATAATTTTTGAAAAGGTTCATGTCATTGCTAAGGCTGGTTTGAGTAATGGATGGATTGTATGGTGCGAATACCAGAACATTGGATCCTTCGAATAATTTATAATAATGAAAGAGACTTCCTATTTTTTGTGCGAACTATCCTTCGTACAGCTTTAGAAAAACGGGAAAGGAATTCAACACACTGTTCAAACATTCTAGATCCTCTGTTCAATGCTGATTTGCGTTAAAAACTTTAAAAATAAATTTGCATTATTTAATATATGATTTACAATTTCAATTATTTTATATTTTTTAATTTTTCATTATTATTATTCATTTCAAATATTTCATTTATTATTTTTATTTTAATCAATATAATATCTTTCTTTTTTAATTACATTATAATTTTTTTAATAAAACAAATTTACTTTTGCTTTTAATTTACGCTAATTTTTTCATTTATTTTTATTTTGCCACCATAGATTTGGTAAGAAAAATTCAGAAAAATATTAGTTTCCCAAAATAAAACACCTAATAATTTTTTGAATAATTTTTTATTCTTTATTTACCTTATATTTCGCTCATTTACATGTAAATCACTTCATTTTTTTTTACTTTATATTTTAAATAATTTTGCAAATTTCATTTCATTTTATTTGCATAAATTCTGTTATCTATAGTTATATCTAAGTATCTATATATGTTTAGTATACTCATGTGTGTATGTCTGTGTGTGTGTGTTTACATACAAATACATATGTTCATATGTATGTGCATGCATTTAAAAGTAACTGACATTTTAAGTGTTTTACTATATGAATTTGTATTTGTTTTTTCACATTTCTTCTATTTTTTTTTGCTTTTTCTATTATTGATTATGTCATTCATGGATTGTTTTAATATCAAAAAAAAAAAAAAAAAAAAATAAATTAAAATAAGAAATTTTCTTACACAAAAAAACGATTGTTTTTTAACAAAAATCTCTTTTTCCCAAATTTAAAAAAAAAATCCTAAAAAAAGTCATATTTATATTAAAAAAAAAAAACACAAATAAAAAAAGTTCACATAAAAATTAAATAAAAAAACAAAACGCAATGAAAATTCATAATTTTTTTTTAATATTTGCAGTAAATATACATAGGTGTATATAAAAATTGGATATGTTTAAAAAATATTTTCTTATTTTTTATTTTCTATTTTTTTATTTATATGTATGTATATATACTTGTATGTGTATTTTTTTTTTAATTTTTCATACTTAAAAATTAACGCATAGTAACTTTTAAAATTAGTTTTTTTAATACATATATAAAATTCATATAAAATAATGTTTAACTAATTTTAAGACTTAAACTCAATATATTTTATGTACAAGTTTTTGTTTTTTTTATTTTTAAGAAGCGATTAATATACAAATTTATATAAAAAAAAATATTTCAATATGTCTGCTCATATATTTAAATTAAATAAAGGAAACATATCAATTGCAAGATGCTTTAGAAATTTTTTTCAAATCTCTGATGGCGCAAAAACTAAAAAAAAAAGAAAAAAGAAAAATTTATTTTATTTTCATTTATTCTCTGTCAGGTTTTTGTTCTGAAAAGTTTTCCACTAGAGCCTTTGGTTGCGAAATGCAATGAAAGATCAGCAAAACTTGCGCTAAATGTTATTTTAACGAAAGCTTAAGTAAGCTCGATTTCGGAACTGATTAAAGCTGAGCTTCTAAGTGCATGGCTACTCAATAAAGAATTTCTGTTATGCCATGAAAGCTCAGTAAAGATTTCGAAGTTAGTAAATTATACGAAAGCTTACTTTGGATGCAAAATAGATGTGAGCTTATTTTCGAAAATTATGAAAGCTTAAAGTCAAAAGCTTCCCTTGAGAATAATTAAATATTTTAGTTTGAGCGCCAATAAAAAATTGAAAAAATTTCTGCTAGAAAAATCAATTTGTATACAAATCAAAATACAAATTATTATTTAAAAGAGAAAAAAAATCTTACAATACCGTTATATATATTTACAAAGAGACTTACATACATACATGTGTAAATCTGTATATTTTTTTTTTAGCTATTTTGCTCGTAGTAGCTGTCTTAAGCAATGAATTTATGCACATAAAATACCGTTAAGTACTAGTATTAACTACTTTTATGTATTTTATACACATACATACATTTAGTAGCATGTAGTATGTATGTACGTAATTTTAATGTGAATTTCATGCATATCTTTTTTATTGCCGCTTAAAATAATAATTTTCGTTTTTTTTTCTTATTATAAATTTTTTTTATTATTTACTAAAGTAAAAACTTATTTTAGTGATATTTTTTCCATTCGTCCGGGTGTCGATTTACTAAAATAATTTTTTTTCATACAGTTTTCAGCTTTTATTATAGAAGTTTTGCTTATTGAAAATAATTTTTTTTATTTTGTTTTAAATCATTTAGTTTTGTTTTTATTTAAATTATTTATATTTATATTTTAATTTATTCAATTTATTTTATGTTATTTATTTTAAAATTTTTTATTTTATTTTATTTTTTCATTTTATTTCAATTTCTTTTAATTTTACTTAATTTAATTAAGATAAATTTAATTTCATGTATTTCAATTTTATTTGAATTATTTCCTTTTATTTAATATAAATTTATTTGAATTCTTATATTTTTTATTTTATTTAAATTATTTATTTCGCCTTTCTAATTGATTTTGTTTTTTTTATTTATTTATTTAATTTTTATATTTGTTCACTTTATATTTAAGCTTTGTTTATTTGATTCTAATTTATTTAAATTTATTTTATTTATTTGTTATTTAATTTTATACATAATTCTGCTTCTTCTTCTTCTTCATCATTTGGCCTATAACTAACAATCTTACATTTATAATTCCTTTTATATTTTTCATTTTTACACATAAACCTACATTTATATAAATCGCTTGTTTTTTTTTTTAATCGTCTTTACAACGCCATCAGTCTTTAACTTAGGGATTAAGTTGTGTACTTTGCTTAAGATTTTACGATATACATACATATATATTTTTTTATTACTTTTTTCCTTGAAAAAAAAAAAACGCGAAGATTAGAAATTGGAAAATAGAAGTACATAGTATTTACATATATATATGTATAATTTGCTCAGGAGTGGGAAATTTTTCGGTTTAAAAAATGAAATTGATATAAAGCAAAAATAAAATAAAAAAATAAATCATAAAATAAATAAATCATTTTTTAATAAAAACAATTTTTTTTTTAATTAAAATTACACATTTTTCCGAAAAGTTTAATATCAATAATTTTTTGCATAACTTAAAAAAATTTAAACAAAGTTTTGGGGCGAAAAAAATATAAGCAAAATTCGTCAAATTAAAAAAAAAATTATCTAAACAAATTTTCAAATAACTTCAAAAATTGTCAAAAAGTTTAAAAAATAATTAAAAAAAAATTAAAAGTAAATATGTATATAAGAAGTATAAAAAAAATGCTTGAACGAAACAAAAATTAGCAAATCTATTTTAAATTAAATACTATTATTTGTGACATTTATTTCATTAGAAAAAAAATTTTCAAAATTATAAAAAATCAGAAAAATTTTTTTTTGAAATTTTTATCTTGTATTGTATAAAAAAAAAAAAAAAAAAAAAAAAAAAAAAAAAAAAAAATTTTAACAAAAAAATTAGTTTTTAAATTAATTAATTATTTTTAATTTTTTTCCTTTAATTATTTACTAATTTTTCTTAAAAGATCGTCGTACACTTTTTAACTTGAAGGCACATTTTGCATTTTTGTTCGCTCATTTTTCTTTAAGTGTAAATATTAGTATATAGTAGTAACAAGTTTTTTTAATTAGTGAAATTTACAGTTTTTTTTATTAGTCATATGAGTAAAATGATAGCTTTTGAAGTCATCGGTACCAAAAAAAAAAAACTTAATATTTTTAAATTTAATTTTTCTTTAAATTTCTCTTTAAATTCAATCAATTTAATAACCATTTTCGGCGCATTTTGTATTTTTTTTTTCATTAAAAATTTACAAGAATTTGCAGAACCAAAATATTTCGTCAATAATAATTTTTATTGCTTTCAATAATAATAATGAAAACTTATTCGTTCTTTCTTTGCTAAAAAACAACAACAGCGAAGTAGTCTGTCTTGGCTGACTAACACATTGCTAATTCAAGAAAATTTTGTTTTTACTTATTTTTCTTTAATTTCACGTAAAAGTCTGGCGGAAAAGGCGTCGGTCGTAGCAGCTTATGGGTGAGCTTAAGAGCTTTTCAATAATTTCTGGCTACCGTTGCATGCAGCAAACATACTTTTTGAGAGCCACTGCATACTTGCGCTTTACTTATCATAGACGCAAACCGTACTTTGAGCTTTCTAGCGCGCGCGTGGCTTTCGTGAGCTTTTCATAACACGTACTGCAGAATTAAGCTTTTATAACGGCATTTTTACTATCACTTACGCACATTTTCCCCCCGGAAGTTCACACGCAACTTAAAACTCCGCTCAAAATTATCAGAAGAATTCATTGCTGCCCGTCGCGCCACCATCTCGCCAACGTTCGCGCTCATAGTAATCGCCCGCACCACTGCCACTACTCTCGCCCACGCCAGCACGGCCACCACCCAACCAGCTATTGCTGCCGCCCGCCCACCAACTGCCCAGAAATCACCGTTCGCTCGAATGTGTCGTCGAGCCGATGGCGCCGTTGCCATTACTGTAGCCAATGGGACGCTTGAAGAAGCCCAACGTGTCGAGCGTGCGGAATGTGCGTCGTATCAGCTCGTCTTTGTACTTCCAAATCGTTTTATCCTCAACCGAGTTCTCGCGATACTCCTCGCAGCTCTTCTTCAGCGTGTTCACACAGTCGGCGCGGTAATGTTGCAGCTGCGCATCGGTGGTGTTGACCGGATATGACTTGCAGACGCCACCAAGGCAGGCGAGCGGGAAGTGGTTGTGTAGCGTGAGCACGCGTTCGGGATCGTGGAAACACTTCACATACTGATTGGGTTTGGTGTAGTTTTTGGCGCGGTGCACATGTTGGAGCATATGCATGTACTTGGGGCTGTCCTTGTGCCAGCCATGTTCGTGTTGTTGATCGTCGAGGAAGTAGACATTGCGGAAGTTGTAGCTATTGTAGCCTTCCGGCTTGATTTTAAGCGATTCCGGCACCACTTTCTCCATCAGCTCGGACCAGAGCACAAAGTTGCCCTTCGGCATGATGACCTCGTCGATGTCTAGTAGCGCAATGTACTTGTATAAGTAGAGATTCTTGTAGAGACAATCATTGTAGGGTATAACCTCATTCTGACGTTTGTGATTCGTTTTCTTCGTGAGATAGAGGTGCTGGAAACCGGGTACATTCGGCTGCCCGCCCGGCAGCGTTAGCGGTATGACCTGCACTTTACCCTCCTGCTCGTAGTGACTCAAAACTTTTGTGATGTTCGGATGCACTTGCAGATTGTAGAAATAGATCTTGTCCGCGCCCAAAATATTCAACATCTCAATCCATTCAATCAGTCGTACAGAGAGATCGTCGTAGAGAAAGTCCAATCCCTTAACGCAAACCGCGAAACCCTTCTTCTGATCATCCGGCGGCCGGTTGTAGATGACGCGCAAATTATTGGTCGCCGTATCGCACTCCTTCTCCACCATCGATACCGAGCTCGGTACAACACCGTGGAAGGGTTTCGGTATTTGACATGCTATCAGATACGGCTGATAGATGCCTTGCTTGTAGTTGCCCCACTTATTGTACCATATGTATTTATATTCGAATGTCTTCACAATGAACGGCTCCTTCTGTCCGTCGAACCAGAACTGACAATAGGTCTTCACGGTCGGTTGTATGCGGTCGATCATGCCGAGTATGCGCACTGTCGGCCCGATCCGCGACGTCTTACGTATGTCATAGTAGGCGCCAAACAACTGGAATGTGCCGTTCGTCGTGCGCATCGTTTGCCAGTAGATATTGTTGAATTCCAATTCGAAGATGGACGGATATTTGGCGCATGTGTTGGACTTCTGCTGACGGAAATTCTTATTCTTACTCCAGTAGGCGATGGGTAGCGATGGGATGCGCGACTCGACATCGCGCACCAGCTGATCATCATCCATGGCTAGAAGGGACGGTGAGAAGGGAGTAGGAGAAGAGAGAAAAAGTGAATTAGTTGTTTGTAAAATATGTGAATGAGAGTGAGAGTATAGGTGGATTGGTGATTCTTACGTGGATGCGTTAACATAATGGTAATTGTAAGTTTGAGTTCTGGCTCAGCACTACATAAAATGAGCGGTCTGTTCTTTACTTTCTAGCGCGAATGAAGTTATATTGAGTAGTTGCTGTGGCGAGAGCGATCTATACAGATCTCTAAACTCGATTTTACAAAAAATCTCGCGTACTACATAGTCAGACCTATAGAGCAGGGAGACGTAACCACCTTCAGCACTTGGAGCCCATTTAAACTGATGAATAACGCCCCATTCTGTTGCCTAAATAGGTATTACACATCGTCCGACTCTTTAGTGTAAGTTCGATTATGGTAAAGAGAATCAAAATTTTCTTTAGTACCGAATATGGTATAAATAGGATCTTCCGCTCCACTTATGCTCATTTAAGATCCTTCGTGCGACCAAATGTTTTTCTGCCTAACAAGAATCAGATAGTGATTGATTGAGCCGGAGTGGGCTCCAGTCAATTAGATACGCTTAAACATATTCTGTCAATAATTCCTTTGCTTTGCATCGAACCATGCCAGAGGTTACCTTGCACTGCGGGGCCGGGAGCTTCCTTTAAAGACTTGCGCTTAATCAAACGCCCAAAAAATGGTTCGTCCAACCTTTCGGAAATGGCCGAACATCGTCCGTGGAGGTGAGAGTCTATCACATTCTCATTTCAAACCTACACCTAAGAGATGTTTTGCCTAATCGTTTGTCGCCGATTTTGCATAGTACATCCCTAGAAGATCAACCACATTCTAATGGCGTCATTCAAACCACAGCTCTTTCAGTAAAAACCCCATAGTATCTTAAGACTTCCACCCTTCAACCACTCACCTGTTCGATTGTCCACCAATATCTCGGAGGGATCAAAACGATCCGTCGTCGTCGATGTTGTCTCCGCATAACGTAAAATATCCTTCTGCAACAATATACGGCCACTCAGCGGCACAGCGCTGTATTCCTGTGAGACCAAATTGGTGCCGTGCATTTTGAAGAGACCGATTATGACGAAAGACCAAACGCAGAGCGAGAGTAAGACTTTCAGGATTATCCTTGAACTGGCCATTTTTGCGTTTGTTTGTTTATGGTTGTTGTTTGCTTAAAATTTAATGATTGTTGTTGTTGTTGTAAAATCTAGAGTATACACTTTGTGGTTTTTATTTAATATACTAAATTATTATTATTATTGTTGTTTGTAGTTGTTGTTGTGAGTTTTCTTCAGTCCACGTGGCTCACGTCTTTCAAGTTTGCGCCTTTTGTTGTTGTTGCTTTAACTATTGCGCCGCATCACTTTCGTCTCTTGATGTGCTCGAGCGTGTCATTAAAACTGTGAGTAACTGCAAAGAAAGAAAGAGAGAGAGAGTGAGAGAGAGGAAGAGTGGTGAGTGTTTTCTAGTTAGATGATTAAAGGTAATTGAAATATAATAGTTAAACATTTGTATATATGTATGTATGTATGTATGTATGTATGTTGGTACACAATGAGTTGTAGAGTGGTGTACAGGGTGTGGCCATAATCCCATTACTTCAGCTGTGCAACACGCTGAGACATCGCCTCTTTGACGACTTGCCAAAGCTCATAAAACATTTAAAGTAATTGCGCCATTTATTGTTGTCTCTACTTTTGTTATAGCATTTGGCTGCAAGTCTTATTTTTGTTGTTGCATTTTCGAAGTATTTTTCCACTTTTCTTACCATTTCATAGATCAAAGTGACATTTTTGGCCAACAAATTATCATTCAAACGGAGACAAATACAAAAAAAAAACCCAATCAAATGCCGAGTATACAGTATATAACCGTTTAATTATTTTTTTTATATATTTTTTTGGTTTATTTGGTATTTTATTTTTCATAATTTCATTAATTTTATTTTTATTTTTTTTTTATTTTTTTTTTTATTTTCATTTTATTTTACTTTCCAGTTTGATTTTTTTAAATACCTAAAATAATTTTTAATTAATTTAACTTAATTTAATTCATTTTATTCTATTTAATTTAAACTATTTAATTAGTTTTTATTTAAATTTATTCTGATTTATATTTTTTTCTATTTTTTTTTTTTTACTTTATTTGAATTATTTAAAATAAACTCATTTTAATTTCTTTCCAATTTAATTTTATTTTTTACATATTTAAAATTAATTTAATTGTATTTTGTTTTTCAGAATATTTCTAATTTTTTTTTTCTTTATTTTACTTTACTTTTATTTCATTTTATTTTCTGTATGTTTTAAATTAAATTTAATTTGTATTACATCATTTATTTTTTTTATAATTTTATTTTTTTTTATTTATTTTAGTTTAATTATTTTAATACGTTCCAATTTTTTATTTTATTTTATTTTTTTATTTATTTTTTTTTTTTATTTTATTTTATTTTATTTTATCTTATTTATTTTATTTTATATTATATTATTTTATTTTATTTTATTTTATTTTATTTTATTTTATTTTATTTTATTTTATTTTATTTTATTTTATTTTGTTTTATTTTATTTTATTTAATTTATTTCATTTTTATTTACTAAATTATTCTATGGTATTAATTACTATTTATTTTAATTTATATTTATTTTAATTTATATTTATTTTGCTTTATCGAGCTTTTACATAGCGAACCCATCACAAAAACCGCGCGAATGCACCCATGCGCGCCAAGCTTTCAGGCATTCTCAGCCTAAGTCTGTCTAAGCTCCAACCAACGCTAGTTAATACTGTCGGCTTTTCTGTTACAATTATTGTTATTGCTTTGTTGTAATTGTCGCATCAATAAATAATGCTAAGTCGTTATGAAAAATGCATAATAAACACATTAAGTGAAATAGCAGCGTCGGAAAGGGCAAGAGAAAAAGCACAATAGCCAGTGCATGTAAGCTTCAGTTCGTTTATGCGGCAACCGGCGGCACGTCGTCTTGCCTTTCCATTATTAGCAATTTTCACAAATTATTGTCACTAATGAAACGTTCGTCATTTCCGTTGTCTGCGTCAAGCAACATTTTCAATCGCCTTTCTGTTTTTGTTCGCCTGTAAGCTCGTAAGCTTCTGTCTACTGGAGTCACCTATTATTTGCAACATTGTTAGAGAATTTTACTGTCTTCTTGTACACTTGCTCACTTCTTTACCGCTGTGTTGCTCGTAAAATTGTAAACGACATGTAGTTGTTTGCTGCTGCTTCTTCTTTTTCTATTATTTATTTTTATTAGCCTCTTGTCTGCCTGTCATTTTATTGTCAGTGAGCTTTTGTGGGCTGGGATTGAGTGGCTGTTTTCAGTTAGTTAGCGTTTTCATACAGTTGATTTGTCTTGTGTGTGATTTGAAGCACGTTCTTTTGCACAGTGGACTCAACAGACTTCGACTTGATTTGTGCACACCCGAAATCGAGTTGAACTGATGCCCTCCAGTTAGGAGCAGCCCTTACTCACCACTTATGACTTCTCTAGCTACTGCCTATTTAAAAGTTTTTGTGGGTCTAACTAAGTGATGCTTATCTCACAAATCCTCTTTACATCCACCATAAGTTTTACTTCAATTCACTCAAAAAAAGCTCGCTGTAAACCAAGGCAAGAAACTCTGAAGATCGGCGGCTCATCACTTAAAGTCTATTCGGAGCTCTGGAATTCATTCTTCACCTTTATTTATCGAATTCTTTAATGGCTTGGTTGAAGGCTAAGGACAACGTTGATATGTAGGTATTTCATTGAGAGAAGATCTTAATTGAGTCCGCTTTAGCCTTCAGTTTACCCTCATACCTGTCATATGTGGAGAGTGGTGGAGTAGTGAAGCGATACTACCATGTAGATATGGAAGGACCAGTTAGCAGATATCCGGGCTCAACCGGGAAATCTTCACTCGCATAAGAATCTTAGTCTGCCAGTCTTCTGACGTGAACGTGATACCCCATGAGAGGTGCTACCATTTTTTTACTGAGCTTTTCTATTTTCTTTAGCACAATCCCACTGTCTCTACTGCTGGTGGCCGGCGTTCCTTTCCCTCCCAACTGCTGACAGGCCAACAATCCGTATCATAGTTAGAATGTACAGTACAATAGACTCGTATGTCCTACGCGACAATAAAGGCGAGCACAATAGACAATAGACACCGCTGTCGCGCACCAAACGTTTGGTAAGACCACAGAGTTGGTTTATCAAAGCCATCGCAGCTACTAGTTTCCACTTGCTAATGGAAATAAAAAAAGAGCAAAACGTGTAAAAGCAACAGTGCGCCCAAAGAGACAATGACTCTCCCGACCGCTTTGTGCGCTCGGCTGGCTGGTACGTCTTTTTTGTTCGCCTTCCGTTCATTACAAGCGCACGCTTCCTAACCGTCACAGACAAGCATGACCAGACGGCCAGTCGACTGGCTGTCAAGTTGGGAAATTCAAGTAATTTGTTGTAGTCGCAGAAGGAAGTGGAAGAAATGGGGTTTGAAAACTTGGTAGACATATCAATATAAGAGCTTGGGAGGCGAGTGAGCTTTAAAGGAAATAAACATGTAAGGAAATGAAATTAAAGCAACAGTAAAGAGACCGCAGTTATTTGAGGTGGAGCTCGTTAGGTGAGACAGACGGAGTATGCAAGGCAGATAGGCCACAGGAAGCCCGACAGGATGTGGCGATAGATAATACTAAACGGACGATAAGTGTCTCCTCAAGCAATGCTGCTGCTGATGATGATGGTGATAATAATGAAAATGGTTGAGTGATAAAACCTGAATGCTTGTTGGCTGTAAAATGTGTAACACTCTTCCAATCGCTCATTCTCCTCCTCCTCATCCTTCTGTGCACAGACAGTGTGAGACGTTTGTGGCAGGCTGCGGCGGTTGGTTGACACAGTTGGAGTTGAACTCGCTGGCAGTGGGAGTGAAATTTGAAGTGATAAAAATAACTGTGGCTAAGCGAACGCCAGGAAGTAAGGATTCGGAGGAGGAGACCGAGTAAGATGTTAGACACTTCAAAGGAGCAACATCAGCGAAAAATTTTACACTAGCTCAGACAACTCGCAGCTGCAAGGAAGTAGCCTCTTTAGCTCCGGTAGGACGGCAGACGTTGGTAGTACATCAGCAGCAGAACGGAAGTGATGCACACTCTAAGTGGTGTGGTGCTCGAGGTAAGCTCAAGTCCTTGAAGCTGAATGCTATGAATGTTCCATATGCATAAATGAGCGAATGAATGAATAAATGAATGGAGAGTGGAAAAAATGAAAGACAGAGGAAAAAGGAATAAAGAAAGAGCAAAAAAATATATATATATATCATAGCTCCACAAAAAGCTTGGCATGAATGAGTGTGTCTATTCCTTGATACCAGAATGAATGAATTTGTTAAGCATAATTGACGTTGACATTGTGGATGCTTTGTAGGGCTGCCGCGCACGCCACGCCTCTACATTACAGTCAGACAACTGTGTGTGGCTAGAGTTGTAGCTCCCTCTTGAATTGTCTTTGCCTGCATACACTGAGATTTATTTCGATTTAAGCTTTTCTTTTTTGTGTCCTACTCTACCTATGTCCTTGATGGTAGCTGAAAGGACGAGAATGAAAGTCTTAGGCCATAAATCACTACCTTGTTTTTAGCTTCAGCTGTTTTTTCGGTACCGCAAGGTGTTGAAAATTGATGCCGCCTGGACTAGTAGTAATCCAGTAAGTGGTCATCAGGTTTCGAGTGCTCCAGGTGAGAAGAAGAAGAAGCAGTAGCAGCAGAAAAAAGGATATATGTCACATTCAGTTTAATAGTGGACATAATAAATAAGTTGAAATGGCAGACTATACAAGAGTTGGATAATTGAAAAAGGGTGGGAAGTGCAGTGAAGAAGTATAAAACGCGATTGAATGGACGATGCAAACGAAAGAAAGGCTACAGCACAAAAAAAATAATAAAACAAAATTTAATAATATAACAAAAAACAAAATAAAATAAAAAAAATAAAATAANAAATAAAATAAAATAAAATAAATTAAAACAAATTAAATAAAATAAAATACTAAAATAAATTAAAATAAATTAAAACAAAATAAAACAAAAAAAATAAAGCAAAATTAAATAAAATAAAATAATAAAATAAAGCAAATTAAAAAAATAAAATACTAAAATAAATTATAATGTATTAAAATAAAAAACTAATCTGTTAAAAAATCAGATAAAACCAAATTAAATAAAATAAAATTAATTTAAATAAAAAAAATAAAATAAGTTAAAATAAAATATAAAAGGAAAGCTAAACAAAAAAATTAAAATAAAGAGAAACAAATTAAAAAAAGTAAAATAAAATAAAATAAATACAATTAATTAAAATGTGGTGAAATAACTTTCAAAAAAATATTAAAATATATTTAATAAAT